ATCACTTTACGTATTGTTTTGTTTCCTTGTACCCTAAACTTTATCTTGTATTTGTTATGTGTTGTGTTGTTGAAATGTATTGTTGAACTGTATTCTTGTGTTGTTGAAATGTATTGTTGAAATGTATCCGTTAAGTTTAGCGAGTCACTCGTTCCGTATTGTGCAATCCGAATGTCTACCATACCCATTTACCCCTTCCCCGAGTCAGTTAAGGTTATTGTATTACACATCAATTACCAAGATGCTAACAAAATGGATTGAACAGCACCTGCTGCTGCATCTGCAACTGGTCTACCCGGGTAACTCGTAATGATATACCCGAGTACATACTACCCGGGTAGACTATTCGTGGTACCCGGGTAGACCAGTTGCAGATGCTGTTGCAGATGCTGTTTTGGCAATTTTTGTTGCATTTTGGTAATTGTTGTGCAATACCTACATACGGTATGACTTGGGGGTGGATTGACAATATTAATGCAAGGTCTCATACTAATGCATAGAACCAACAAGTCTGAACGTGCACAAAACGAAAATTTCATTCATTCAAATTTTGAATATCCAGTACAAAAACATCCATGCAATGTAGGTAAAGTTCCTAAATGTACCAAAATGACTACATTACATCAAACTAAATCAATGATATGAAACCCTATGGACACACTAATCCGATGCCGTGTCCTCCCCATTCTCTTCATCTGATTGTGTGTCATCCCCATTGTCATCATCCTCCTCCTCCTCCTCCTCCTCCTGAGTATGGGCACCCTCGCCAATTAAACCCTCCAAGCGTGAAACCCTTGTGTCCAACCGTGCAACCCTTGTGTCCATCTGGTTTCGCCACTTGCTCGTGCTCTGTCTATATCCTCTAAAGTCAGTAGTCAGATCATATAAGGATGCCATGACATGATCAAGTGTCCATCCACCCTCAGGAGGAGCTGGTGGTCGCCGACTGCGGGTGGGACGTGTCGGTCTGACATCAACCTCAGCAACGCCATCATCATCGTCATCATCATCAAGGCCTACATCATAAACCATGAAAAACAAACTTCAATACCACATTAAAAATTAAACAACACAAAATTGCATAAACTCATAAAGACCAACACATCACCTGCAGGTGCATCCTCCATCTCAGCATCGTGGTGGAATGGGATCTCAGGTGGTTCTGGTGCCTTCTTCCACGTCCAGATACCCGCTCTGTTCGGTAGGATCCCACACTGCTTCAGGAGCCTCTCACCAAATATAGCATTCCAGCCTCTGGCGGTCTTCAAGGTCTCTGTTGCCATAGGCACTCCAAATCTATGCAGAATCTTCTGCACCAGAAATGCAAAAGGCAATTCAGCCTTCTTTGACTTGGCTGCCTTCCACATCAGTATGCATATGTAATGCCTCCAGTTCACCTGCTGACTGTGAAGGAGGGCCCACAGGATGACAAAGTCCCCTTCCAGCACCTTTGAGTGATTATGCGGGCGCTGGAAAATAATATGTGTCACCACATAATGAAGAATGCGAGCAGAAACTGACAAGTTGCTAACAGGATAATGAGCAAAATGACCGGGCTCAGCGTCTGCCCTCCTAGTCTCTGTAACAATGGTCTCCCGGTTATAATCACCAAATATATGATGGCTGTCTCCATCATATAGTGCTGCTCCTGTGACACCATCAAAATCGAACCCCAGTAGCTCCGTCCAGATAGGAGCAGTCATGATGATATCAATCCCGCAGACACGGGAAGTCAGCTCGCCTTGCGAGTAGCCAAGGTTCTGGTAGAAGGCTCTTACCATAACCTCCGAGTATGGGCACCGCATCTCCGCCAGGTGAAGTAAATGTGTCTGCTCAAGAAGCGGCACGATGTCAAAACGCTCTAGGTTGAAGAATGCCGAATCCAGTGATTTCGGTTCGCAGATCTTCCGGGTCATGAAAAACTTCACGAACTTCTCGTGTGAAGGAATGTCATCCTCAAACAAATATCCGAACGTCAAGTCCGGAGCCTGACTCGAAGCAGCCTGGGGCTGAGAGGATGACGACCCATCGTGACGACTCTTGGTTCTTCTCTCGGAATGGGTCACTGGCAGCTTTGAAACGCGTCGAGAGGTCATTGTGTCACACTATTAAACTGAAAAAATAACCAAAATCAGAAATTAGATACATGTTAGGGTTAGGGTTAGGGTTAGGGTTAGGGTTAGGGTTAGGGTTAGATTCAGGGTTAGGGTTAGGGTTAGACAAATTGATAAAATAATTCGGACAGAATCAAATGATATAAACGAAAATACAATGAATCAGAACAGAAATCATAACATAATTGAAAAAACTGAAAAAAAAAATTCACCTTTGATCGATTTCAATCGGTAGAAGGCAGAGAGGTTGCAAGGTCCGCAAATGATGATCACAAACAAGACGAATTAGTGCAAGATTCTGCCTGAAATCGCTCAAGATGACACTCCTCCAGCAGCTCTACTCGGGTACCCCTTTTGTGGGTTTTCGAAATGGGGCTGCTGGGGTATTTTAAAACCCTACCGTCGATGTTTACCCGGGTACACTGCTACGTACCCGGGTAAATAATTCAAACATTTTCCCAGATTCAAGAACTCTACCCGGGTACACCCCTACATACTCGGGTAGATAAAAAGTTTCAAAATTTACCCGGGTAGGTAATGGTGTACCCGGGTAGGCTTCGTGGTCAACGGTCAAACAGGGGCAGATTGGTGTTATGTTTGTTGGGGAGGGTAAATTTTCGAAATAGTTTTGAATGAGGGGCAATTTGATAATTAATTATTAATTAAGGGGCATAAGGGTCAAAAAGCCTGATATTGATGTTTGTCTTTCCATTTTGACTTTTAATTTATTTATTTTCAAATTGTACTCATTTTGAGATTCACTGTTACATTTATAAAAATTAGAAATGTATATTACTCATATATTTATAATTATTTGACCTACTTTGTATTTTTAATAACATATGAGTTGAAAGTATTTTTACTTTTAATGAAAAAAAATATGTACTACGAAGTAGTAAAAATTTAATCCCACTTCATACCCATGATAAGTGGGTTCCTTCCCAAATGTACATTGATCAGGACATTTCAAATAAATTAATGAAAAAATATTTATTTTTAGATTTTGTGTGTAATTATATATATTTTTTATTTATATAAATCCCTTTTAATGTAAATTACTAATTTAGTAAGGTTTCGCATTTCATAATAAATCTAGAAAAAAATATAAATCGTCACATCATACAGTTAATAAGATACAACGCTTCAACAACTTTGTAATAAATTGAATTTATAACTTAATTGAAAGTAATCGAAATACAGGTGGCAGTTCATGGTTCAAAAAGTGCAATTTATTTGGATTACGGGTGAGAATGTCGAAAGATGAATAGAATAAAAAAAAATCAGTGACCATCCAGAGAGAAAAAGAAGACTAAAATTGACCGATGCACGCGTTTATTCACTCTGTAATCAAGTTGGCACTGAAAATTTGACAATGAAATGCTTACTAGCTAATTAATATGCCTAAAGCGATCTTAATTATTCTCCCAACTATTTCCAGATTTCATTCTTCAACGTAAACCACTCATCTTCATTCTACAAATACAGCTTGCATACGCATGCGTATATGACTTTAGTGTGTTAGCTAGTGTTTATTGTTTTCACTTTTCAGGTAAAACATTCTGGAAGATCAGTCTCTCGCTTCGGCTAATGGAAAGGCTTTTATTATTATTAATAGTTGAATACTATACCATAACCAGATTAATTATGTTAACGTTGATTTTTAGCTGATATCCCGATGAATTGTAGCTGTACTTGTACAATAGAAGTGTACATGCCTCGGGTCATTTGCACCTCCCTAACAAGGGAGAAATTATATACTCCCAAATCATCATAAAATTGTACTACGTTTTAACATTATTTAATTGTATAACTCACCACTTATATATTTTTTATTTTAGCTTTATTTCTTTTAAAAAGAAAAGTGATAAATGTGTATGTGAGTGGTGTCTTCATAATTAATCAAGGTTGAAATGTCAAATCTAATAAATAAACACAATCTTATATATATGATGAATGGGAATAAATTGTTCATTTGTTAATTTTGTTAAACAAATAAATTATTGCTTGTTTTAAATGAGAGGAAAACTTTGTAACCACGAAAGGGGGGGAGGGGGGGAACAATTCTGAGGTGCTGAATTGGGGGAATAAAACGTGTTAAATAATAAACACAATGAGAAAAGGAAAGAAGATAAAGAGAACAAAACATTGAGAACCTTCCGAGGAAGGAAATGAATAAAAACCTTGATTTAAGTCATGCCTGAATTGGATGGCTAAAAATATTTTGGCACCCAGAAATATCCATCTGTTTTCACAGAGTGAAGATAGATATGTGCCGAATATGTGTTGGCAAGTTACCAACTCAAGTGTCTTCACCCTTCAAAACAAAAAGCTCAATGCATTTGTAGGGCACATTTGTATATTCTAAAAGAAAATTTCCCACAACATTCGTATGAACTGCTTGAAAAATAAATCATTGGAATTATATATTATCACCCCTTCACAACCTCCCGCAATATTTTTTTGCCTTTGAATAATAATAATAAAGTTATCATCCTCCATTCCCATAATACCTTACCCCACCCTAATAATCTTTAAAACTTGAACAGCCAAAATGACTTAAACCACTAGGATATATCTTATTAGACAAAAGATTTCATCATTTTCAACTCTAATCGTAAGACGAAAAGTATTACTCAACAAGCACAATTAAAAATATAAAAAGTAATTGAATTTTAGAAGCATTTTTGTGTAATGAAATTATGAAAGCCTTGTCGCGGCACACTTCTTCATCGCCAGGGGACTGTGGTTCTCTAAGCAAAGGGTGTGAGACGTATTTCCGTTATACACTTAACTATTATCTCAGATTCCTACAAAGAGTTGAAAGAACTTGTGCGGGAAAATCAATCACACTGGCCACCGCTATTTATCTTATCTGAGACTGGCCAATTCAATAGTACACCATTCAGAATCAAATAGTTCATAATCGTTTAGATTAAGAACTTCATTTGTGCATTTGGCTTCACTTACAGACATCAAAATGTACCATCCGTAAAGAAGAGACTTTCCCTTCTATCAGGTTGTCTTTAATTTGGAAGAAGTAATTAAGCAAATTATATAAATCACGAATTCATGATGATTAGTAAAACTTGAAAGGAAACAAAAATAGAACCTAAGAATACCTAAAAAATTTAAAAATTATATCAAATAACAAATAGAAAGTGATGCCAAGAGTATCATCCAAACATGGACCCAACATTACACCTTAACTGCATATTTTCTCATTGGGAAGTACATTTCCCTCTTCTTCTCACGCTCTGTCTTCAATGACTCCTGTAAGAAATACAGAGCAAATTCATTCAGCCATGTTAAGAAGGAAGCTTGCATGCCTAGAAATATCAATTAGATTAAATCAAGGTACGGAGATAATGTAAAGCAAACATCACACGAAGCATTATACTGATGAAGTTATTCTTGAAAACAGGATTCCCAAAACAACTTCACCAACAAAGAACGTCCCCAAAATTCAAACCAGGTATAGGAGTTTAATAGTATATTCAAGTTCTATATATAACCCCAACAAGATGGCCAATCCAATTTGAAACTTCATCAAGTAGTTTTCAAACTAAAGTCCTGCCAATAACAGGTACTTGTATCATCTCTTGCTCCAAAAGAGGCAAAATGATAATCATGTCATTACACTATTACAGTAAAAGTCCCCAACCAAACCATGTTCCCTACTCCAGTTAATGCACCGCTACTTAAAAATATTTATAACAAATCAAACGATAGTAGCTCAGTTGGCGCCAGGAAATTGAACAGATGGGGATGACAGCATGTGTTTGATCCTCCCCAGTACTATTTTTGGAAAAGGTTTAAAGCCTTAATCCCGGAACCCCCCAAATTGGACTAGTCAGTAGTCACGAAATGATGAACCGATTGGAATATCTCCAAAAAAACATATTCATAACAAAATATAATTAGAAAAATAAGGAAAAGGAGCAATATTATTAGGGAAGATAAATGATATCTAAATTGCCAAAACCAGCTTTCTAAGATACATATTATGTCAATGTGTGAAGTTCAGGTATACAATTAAGAAAACAAGAGAAGCTTTCATCCAACACCCTGACATTGAGAAAGAGTTCAAAATCATTATCTAATTCAACATTTCAGCTAAATTCAGAGCAAATCATGCCCTTAATAAACTATTCATCATAGTTAGACACATAATCTATCTACACCTTAATAACCTCGTTCCTCTGCACTCTCTCCACTTTCACTCACATCAAACATAACCCATCAACCAAGCATAAGACCAACTTCCCCAGATGCATTTCAAAATAATAATAAAAAATTCAACCCTTAATAAAAAAAAGGTATATTAAAGAAAATTGAACCAAAGCAGAAACATAGAAGGTACCTGGTACTTGGTAAGGCGTCTTCTAATAGCTCTGGTCTTCTTGGGACGCAGATCCAAAGGTAGGTATTTCTTCTTCTTATAAGCTTCCCTCAATGCTGCTTTTTGTTTCTGGGAAATCACTGTCAGCACCTGCGCTATGTTAAGCCGAACCACTTTTCTGCATCAAAACAATAAATGCAATCAAATTCGCATTAACAATACAATGTTATATAAGAATTGTTTACAAGAGAGAGAGAGAGAGAGAGAGAGAGAGAGAGAGAAAACGCACATCTTGGAGAGCTTGTTTGGGGCTCCACCAGTGACCTTAGCGACGCGAAGGAGAGCAAGTTCTGCTTTCAGATCCTTCAATTGGTTCAGAAGCTCTGCTTTCGTTTTGTTCCTGAGCTCGTAAACCTTGATCCTCGCTTTTACATTCAAAAAACAGAGGATCCAGATTCAACAAAATCGATAAAAAGAAATATCAGAATCAAATTGAGAAAAAATATATATGGATATTATGTTTTAGAAGCATGTTATGCAGTAGCATTGGTTTCTTCTTACCCATTGCGAAGCTCCTGAGTAGTTGTGAAAAAAAGTCGACAGAAAGTGAAACCCTAATTAACTTCTCTGTTTTATGGCCAAAACCCTAACCAGGGTGAAAGGCTGCGATAGAAACTGAACGTATTAGCTGGATCTGGGCCTCGTTGACAAATTGAAAATGGGTTAGAATTGACCTAAATATTGGGCCCAATTTGTTGAATGATATCTTGCACAAGTGATGGGCCCAGTTATGGGCCCCTTAAGTTTTCGTTTTTGTCTTAAGAAAAAGTTTATGTTAACCCAAACAAACCTCAGACTTGAAATTATGTAATATTTTAAGAGTTAAAAAATAATTAATGAGATATTATGCCTATTTTTTTTTTTATTCTTCCGACTCATCTCCAAAATCATTGGATCCAAATCTTAAGAGAAAAGAGAAAATGTGAAAGTTAAATGAGATTCTAATCTAACGTGTTGAAAATTAATAGGTAAAGTAGACATTAAAAAAAAAGTAGAATATCTTATCCCAAAAAATAAACAGACTTGTGTGCTCCATGAGCTTGATAAATTCATATTATGCGAAAGACTTAGGTATGCATGACAATCATTCTATTCTCTACCACTATTTCTGAAAAGAAATAATTATTTTCTATTGATGTGCCTTGGAACAGTTTCTGAGAAAAAAAATGTGTTTGATAACATGTTCTATTTTTATTCTGAGAATGAGAATTGTGTTTGATAACATAACAAATAATATAATAAAAAATAATTCCTATTAAATATAAAAAAAAAATTTGGATCATCACTTTCATTTTCATATGGTGTGGTTGTGGTGGTGGTGGTGGCGGCGGCAGAACGGTAGTGGTGGTGGCAGTGACATGGTGATAATAGTGGTGGTGGTTGTGACGGCAGTGGCTGCAGCGATGGCGGTGATAATGGTGGCAGCGACGGTGGTAGTGGTGGGGATGGTGGTGGTGGAGGTGACGGCAGTGGCTGCGACAATGGTGGTAGGGATGGTGGTTGGTGGCGGCAACAATGGTAGCGGTGGCAATGGTTGCAGCGGTAGGTGACAATGGTGGTGGCGGCGGCGTCGGCGGCGATAGTGGTGGCAATGGCATAATGATGGTAGTTGCGGGGGTGGTGGTGACGGTAGTGGTGGTTGGCTGCAGCGGCGGTGGTAACAGTAGTGGCTGCGGCAATGGCAGTGGTAGTTGGTGATAGTGGTGGTAATGGCAGCGGTGGCGTCGTGGTTGTGGCGGCGGTGGCATTGTAGTGGTGGGGGATGGTGACGACGACATTAATGGTACGGCGGCGGCGGTGACGATGGTGGCTGCGGTCTTGTCGGGAGATGATGGTGGCGGTGGTGGTGGTGGTGGTGATGATGGTAGATGTGGAGAATGATTGAGAGAGATAAGTGTTTCTCATTTTGCCCGGGAACAAAAAAGCAGAGAAATTTTCTGATTTTTGTTTTCTGTTCCCAGCACAAAAATTAAACCGGTTCATCCCGGGAACAAAAAAATAAACCGGTTTTACAAAATGAGTTTTCTATCCATTTCTGTTCTCGAGAACATAAATTAAAAAAAAAATGATTCCGAAAAAGTTGTCATACGCACCCTTAAACAAGTGAAATAATTAGAAACGGGAAATTTAAAGAAAGAAATAAGAAAAGAGAAGGAGAAAGGGGAGAAATTTAAGGTCAGTGTGGGGTCTCAAAAGTCTTAATCCTTGAACTGATGAAAGACCCACATCTTTAAACGCGTGATTATATATAAAACTCTTTGTCTGAATCACTGAAGGACAGGCACAACAAAAGTTGTGTATTTTAAATAAGTATGGTATAAAGGCCTTAAAGCGATCCATGCTGGTAAAGAAAGACTAATTCCGAGCGAGTGACTGACACGGTGCATTTCGTTTTGCATCCCCACTGGAAAACTAGTAAGAATCCATGTGCAATTGTACGTTACCCAGAGAACTTTTGTGTATTATTGTGTTTTAGTTTGAAATAAATAAGAGTCTTGACGTACTCTTTTGATTTCAAGGAGTGAATAAAATTACTTAATGTACAAAATCTGATGAGATTAAAGCAAAGATCATAGGCAAGGAAACCATGTGTTAATATATTGGGTCACGCAATTGATTTGGGTTTAATTGTTGACCTTCTGATACTGATGGGTAGGTGCGAAGTCACTAAACCCTGTGATTATCAACATATACGTACACGAAATATATATACCCATCATCTTTGCCTGAACAGCCACTTGAATTTCATCCAAAACAATTAAAATATCAACAGCAGTTAAGTTAGACCTAAATGCACTTGACGTGTACTTATAACTATAAAACTCTAGTATCTTCCCAAATAAAAAAAATTTCTAATTGCGTTTGGTTTTGTACCTTAAGAAAATCTTAAAAACAGGTAAAACATTACATTAAAAGTATTAATAATTGTTTAAAGAAATATATATATATATATATATATATATATATATATATATATATATAGACACACACATATACACACAAGAGATGATCATTGTAAATTTAAATTATAAATTCAAAATACGACATTATCTATTGTGTCGACTCCAACACCTCCTGGCATGCATGGCGCATTGATATATTAATGGTTGCATGCTCTATAAGTTATAATTCTTTTATTTTTACTAGAGTCCTCCTATGTCGAATTCATAATTTCTTAACTTTTTTCTTTTTGTTTCTTTTCATTTGTTTGAAACTCGCCTAGTGCTCGATGACCACACCGATCTTTGACCTATTACTTGTCATCTTTCATCAAGCAATCCCTAAATTCTGGCACAAGATTCTTTAACGCTCAAGGTTCAAAAGGATAACTATTTTTATTTACAATGACAGCAACTTCAAAACCTAAAGTGTATAAATTAAGGGGCACTATTACAGTGTGATTTAGATGAGATGTTAGGAAGTCAGGGAAGAGAAAACGGTACTACTAACTTCCTCTTGTGGAGACCAAAGGCAACACAACAGTTATATATGCATATGTTTGTATATCGATAAAGAGCAACTCACCTCTCTTGTGGAGACCAAAAGCAACACAACAGTTATGCATATGTTTGTATATCGATAAAGAGCAACTCACCTGGTTGGTATTTGATAATGATTTTATATTATATTATATTATTTGATAATGTTGCACAAGTTCAATTTTTATTTTTATTTTGCCACTTAATTAAACGTGTGACCCTTTGGTCCGTGAGGCTATAATACTATATATGATAAAAAAAATAACTCATCCAAAAACTTAAGTTGATAAGTGATAGACCTTCAATAATTCTATATTAATTATATTTCTTTAACATATACAATATAATTTGCAAGATGGCTAGTGCGAATGTTTGGGCAAATGGTAATGATATACTATTATGAAATAATATGATATCCAAGACAAAATGTCGTCTACTCATCTTTTCTTAACTTTCAAAATTGAATCTTAAACAAGTCTTCCTAATTTTTTTTTGCCGAAAATATTGAATCTCCAAAGTAATTTCATGATATATATAAGAGAACAAAAAAAGAACATAACCATTTGAATTAAATTAGTAGCTAAATGGTAAGAAATAACAAATTAATAACTATTAAGTAGGTTGAAAATGCACAACTAATTTCTAACCATCCACATCCACTGCGCACCCACTGCATCCAAAACATGAAAAGTACTAATACAAAGGAAATTAAACAAGGAGCCCACCAAATTGCAAAACCGAGCCCACTTTAAAACAATGATGCCTCAATAATAGAAGGTGGTTTGTCATCCCTAAACTTTGTTAATTCCACAACTAGTGGTAGTAATCATATCATAGCAAAGATGAGCACAATTTCTTATTCCCAAAATTGAAAAAACAATGAGGAAAAGAATTAATAATAAAAGATAAAATACAACTTTGAAGATCCAGATTAATCACAAATCTTCCAAGGTATCATTACTCAGTACTTTCCAGTGGGACCTAATGCATTACCATTACCTCTCTTTTTTTCCTCCCTCATTAGGAAGATCTTTCTATTACTTCCTTTACTGTTTAGCTTCATCTACTAGCTACTGCTTAAAAAGCCATTGCTTCCAACTTGTTCTCTCTCTGTTCTATAACAAGCCACCAAGAAAATAAACCACCATATCCACTTAACACAACAACATGAAAAGAATGAATTTATTCTGTTCTTCCTCTGGTTCCACAGCAATAACTTCTAGTATGGAAAATCGTTCTTTGGTACGCAGAAGCACCAAAAGCTATGACCATGATAGAAGAAAAAACAAACTTCATGTCCCTTGTTCATCTGAATTTCCCATCAATCCTAAACCTTACTTCGAGAAGCATAGAAAAAGTTCAGCTGATAAGCAAAACAGTGACATTCGTAGAAAAAGCTCGGTTGAAGTCAACGACCTATATACTCATCCCAATACTACTGGTTCATCCAGAAGATATCTCCTTGGTGACGCGCCATTCATTGATTGGATATCTGAGTCTGATAAAATCACAGCAATGGTTCCTTCTCAGCATGATGCCAAAGCCAAGTCCATGGTTATGAACAGAAACAACGATTCTCCTGCTCTTAGGTCCTCTTCTTCAGGTCACTCCAGGAACCAGGTAATTTTTCATTTTTTAATTTTGTTCTCTGTTTGTTTTTTTTGTTTCTGAAAAGAATATAAAAAAGGAGACTTAATATTTTTGTTTTTAATGAAAATTTGGATCCTTACACACAATTTATAGTCAATTTGTTTCAAGCTACTTTTTTTTTATGAAAACAATCAAGCTTTCAATAATTTTATATTATATTTCTCAAATAATAAATTGTCTTATGAAACCTACAGCTTGTGGTTTTGAGGGTGTCATTGAACTGCAAGGCCTGCGAAGGAAAAGTTAGGAAACATATTTCAAAAATGGAAGGTGAGTTCTGGTAAATACATATTTTTGGGGTCTTAAAATTAGAACATGGTATAATTAGCCAAATAATAATGATAATAGTAAAGGTAGTAATAATAATTCCCACACTCTTGAGCTTTTTTCATTCTTTTTTTTAAACATCAAACTTTGACTTATAACATATATGTCAAGGTTTTATAGTTTCCCCATATATTTATGCTAAAAGCAATATATTTGGCTAATGATCCTATGTAGGAGTGACATCATTCAGCATAGACTTGGAGACCAAGAAAGTGACCATAAAGGGAAACGTGACGCCACAAAGTGTACTTGCGAGTATATCCAAGGTGAAGAATGCACAGCTATGGCCATCTTCATCAGTACTGCCATCATCTTCTACGCCAACTTCTCCATGGTCTACATAATCTGTTATCAATTAACATAAAATTTCTTTCACCCCTCTCTCTCTCTCTATTTTGTTTACTGTTGTTTGTTTGATAAACCCTCCGGGAAGTGCGTGTTTGTATGATTACAAGTTTGATCACTTGTCAAGCTTAATGTGTGTCATCTAAATGAACATTCTTCTTTAGTTATACGGGTGTAATATAGCTAAAGTAGAATTTCTTTCGTTGTTAACTGATTGCTGCTTAATGAAGTAGAATTTACAAAATATATTTATTTGATCATCTTGCTTCTTTCACGTTAAAACCATTTCTAAGGGAATGTTTTTGGGGTAACGTGAGTTAATTAACTTCAAATGCACCAAAGTACCTAATTAAGACCCACTACCCCACATTAATTGTTCCTGTTTGTGGGGATTAGTGATTTATATAAAAAGGAATATGATCCGTTTACAAACATTTTTTGCAAGTTACACTAAGTACAACCGGTCGTACACTGCACGATTAAAATATGACCGGTCGTACTTAGTGTAGTTTGTAAGAGATTGTAAGCAAAAAAGTTTGTAAATATAACCTGAGCCATATAAAAATGATATCAAATCTGTTTCATTGAAAGTTAAGAAATTCAAAATAAGTGCCAGGACCCGAACCAACCATTTAACTGGTATTTTGAACATGAACAAGCTGAATGTGCACCAAAAAGAGAGAAGGACTTATCAATACCCTGAGGCTTAGCATTTGAAAAGCAATCATGGGTCCCCATCTCTTCTATAAGCATGAGAAACTTGTATACCCTGATGCATATATATATATATATATGTACTGTTTTTCTCCATTGGATTGAACATGATTAATATAGCTGCGCTTTCAAATCATGGGGAGACAAAGGTAATGCATGCGAGACAGAGCTCGCAGGAAGCACCGAAGGCCAGGCTGGTTTGGGACACATTCTCTTCAGCAAACTTTTCCTTGTATTTTTTTACTTTTTCAGCTAACGATCGATGTTCACCAAACATTGGGTGGGTCGTATAGGTCAGCTTTAAAGAACTTCGGGATACATCACTTAAAAGCCAGCTCAAAGGGGGGAGTGAACTAATGTGGAGTTTATAAGGCCGTGGACACTCCCACTCCTGCTTGAGTAACTACAAGGTCATAAGTTCGATCTTTACCGCCCCACTTTAAAGTGAAATTAAAATAAATAAAAAAGCACAAAAGGTAACCCCTCACACGAGAGCCCGTTGGGCTTGAAGCATGAATTACGCACAGACCCAGTTTTTGGTTTACCTTTTTGTGCTTTTTTTTATTTTAATTCCACTTTAAAGTGGGACGGTGAGAATCGAACTTGTGACCTTGTAATTACTCAAACTCTGATACCATGTAAAGAACCTTGAGATACACCACTCCAAAAGCTAGCTCAAGAGATGGGAGTGCCCAAGGACTTATAAAGGTCACATTAGCTGTCCATACAATCAATGTGCTATATATCTCAACGTGAGCGACCAATATTTTCTGTAATCATCACAGACACAATTCAGAATGCAGCCAAATCAATGCTGTCAATTATTATTTATCTTCATGGAAGTAATGATGCGGAATAGCGGATCTATTAATACAAGGTCGTTAATTTCACTCTAATTATCTCTTTCAAAGAGCTATCACACCACCAATCTCGTGGATCAACAGGTAAAGGGTTGTTTCAACTTAACTAGTGATATCAAATTCGAGTTTAAAATATGCAACCGTGTTAAAAATTTGATAAAAAAAGACGTTTTTGGAGGAAGATTGTACATTCAGGTCCCAATTAATGTTGGAGGCTTCAGTTTGTTTTTTTTTCTTTTTCTGTCAATATTGTACATTCAACATTCCCTACTGGTAACGAAATGATGACAGCAGTGTACACTTTATGGTTGCATAGTCTTGGATCAAATTTGACAGTGGTGGGGCTACTTCATCATGCCTTGAGTTTTATCTTCCTTTTTCTTTAATTTGGAATTCTACTCTCTCTAACCAATTTATGAGACAAAAGACATCATGTGGAAGCGAAGAGAGTTCTTTCCACTATATGCATGAGTTGATTAATTTACTTTTCTTATCGGCTTGTTTGTTTGCTTTAATTTCTTTGACTAGATCATGGACGGCTGGAAAAAGAAAATACCAGAACAAGTTAAAAATACAAACGATTATGGGCAAATTATTGGCACTATAATAAATTTTTCAGCCGGCTGGGAAATTTGTTTAATAAGTTGGCGCAGCAGCATCTATTGTGTAAGTAGAAGTTTGGACATTGGATCCATTTGAAACTTGAGCCATTCAATGATTTCTCTTATTAAATAATTCTCATGACAAAACACATAGGGGGTATTTAGAAGGAGATGGATCTTTTCACTCCGGTATAAAAATAAGAAATTTTACTCTTCATTTCAGCCATTGATCGATCTTCGTACATTTAACGGCCGTAATTTATTGAATTATATTCGTTAATTAATTATTAGCCCTTAATAAATTGCAATTGTTAGATGTATGGAGATCATCAGTTGAGATGGAGAGTAAATTTCTTATCCTTAGAACGGAGTCAAAAGAATATACTTAAACAAGAATCCTTTAAGACTTTCATATCATATCATTGACCAACTCCCTTAAAAGAGAATATTAAGTTACTAAGTGAATACTCATAAATATTGTTTGTATATTTCAAAATGTTCATGTTCTTTCTCATGTGTAAAGTATGGACCTAATGCACTCAAAATGAAGATTTCAATAATGCAAGAGTTTTGATGATAACAAACAAGTTTGGAAGAAAACTTCAAGAGTGACACATCGATCTTTCAACAATACAAAAGAAATCCAAGGAAGCTATTCAACAAGTCAACGAAGACAAAACCATCAGGACAAATGACCAAGTCTAAAGAGAAGATCAAGAATCAAGCTACAAATGGAAGAACCTAAGTTTAAGAACCTACAAGTAGTACATCTATAGGACTTAGACTCAAATGTAAAGATAATTGATTAATATTGCATGAATGAGCTCAAAGAATACTTATTTTTCATACATTAATCATCCATGGTTTTAAATACTTAAAGGAAAATTAAAAAAACCCATGAAACAGGTCCTTGACATGTTTTATAACTTCAAAACATTCTTGAAAACAAGTTGGAATGCATTTGAACCAAAAAATGTTGCATAATCAGTTGTTGTCAATAAAGTAGTCGATTACTTTCTTAAACAATAATCGAATACTTTGTTAGAGACATAGTAATCGATTACTTGATGCAAAGTAATCGATTACTTCATCAAGTAATTGATTACTCCACGAAAAGTGATCAATTACTTAGTGACCAGTAAGCATTCCAAAAGGCTATAAACGGCTAGTTTTAGTCCAATACTTATATGTACTCATTTGTCACACCTCCAACGAGTTTTAATCACTATTTTATTGACTATGCAATTATTCTTGACTATTCTCCTTGAATCAAACATATCAATTACTCATTCTTACTCATCTTGATCAAAAACACTATTTGAGCTTTATTCTTGTGATATTCATCAATATCCATAAGCTTTAACTTGTTTATTCTGTACTTTAAGAGTACTTATTCATTCTTAAACACTCTTCTACTGTATATTTGAATTGAGGGTAATAAAACCTTAGTGAAAATGTTGCTCCTAGCCTAAGAAAGTGAATGAAAGTGTAAGGTTTTCAAAAACCAAAATTTTGAAGGTTGTAATGGTTTGTTCAAGCACGCTTGAAGCTTGATCAATAGTGGACTGAAGGTTGGACGTAGATCACAGTAGTTTGTGATCGAACCAAGATAAATGGAGTTTGCACTTTCTATAAACGTTGATCTCTTTACATAAGCTTTGCTTGCATACTTGGCATATTTAGATTCATACTTATTGTTCATCATTTGCTTGTCCTACTTGAAATTCATCAAACTTTACCTGTCTTGAATCATATAATCTCAATAAATTTGTTTTTAAAAAGAAAGTGAGACATTTTGTAAAAGTATTTTTAAAATTCAATTCACCACCCTCTTTAAGTTCTGAGGCCACTTATTCAACATAAAGCTACTCAAAAAGAAGGAAAATAAAATAAAAAACACTGCTTTTCTATGCCTCTGATTTACGTAACCAATTGTAGTTTTGCATCACTTTAAAATAATTGTATATCTCACCATACTAGAAGTTATTGATGGTTTTTTTTTTTTTTTCTCTCTCTCTCGGTATCAAGCTCAAGAAAGACAAAAGATGGATAATTGAGTAATGTCATGGAACCTGACAAAAACAAAATAGTTTCACACTTGTTTAGAAGGACTGTGACATGTACCATTCTTTTTGAAATCGGACATTAAGTCGATTACATATCGTATTTATTTTATATCACTTTCATTTTTGTACAAATATTTGTTAGAATTTCAACGCGTTTTATGAAGTTAAGAGAGATTTTTTACTTTAAATAGTGAATATAAGACAAGTTAGCATCATGTCCCTTCACGAATCATTTCCTTTAGGATTGAAATGAGTTTAGATGAAAAATGCTTTTCGCCAAGCAGAAAATACAAATGGCCAAACAGCACGATCCCAAGGAAACGGTTTTATTTGTGTTTTTTATGCAAGCAAACGAGAAAAAATAAAAGTTGAAAACGATAGGTTGAGGAAAATGGCCAAGAGTGAAAACATTCGCCAGTTTCATATCTACATGTGATCTAAAGCTTTTTTGTTGGGTTCTCCTCCTTTAAGTGACACGCAGACATAATTTATGAATTAAAATCCATGTGATTAGATCTGCTTTGAATATTCTTTAGAGCCTGAAATTGATGGCAATTGAATACTTGAAAAAAAAGCCTTACAAATCACCTTCAAGTTAGGCACTTACGTTGTTTTTTTTTTTTTGGGTAATAAAGTTACATACATATGTAAGAGTTGAAATCAATGTTATTAAAACCGGCCTGGTCATTGACCCGGTCGAGGTACTGGGTCACTGGTTCAACCAGTGGATCACTGATTCAACTGCATGACCCGGTAATTATATACAATTTTATAATTTATATTAAAAAATTATAAACATACTCAAATATCTAAAAAAATGATAAAAATTTCAAATATTTTAATACAAAAAATAATAAATCACATATTATTATTAAATAAAAAATCAAACAAAAATATAATGATCGTGATACAGGACTTTAGATTCAGAAAACGACATCTCTAACTATAAATTAATTCAAAATTTTATGCATAGTACATAATTGAGATAATATTAGTGTTGTAGGTACATAACTTATGTAAGTCAATAAGCAAAAAAATATTCAAATATGGCTATTATGATTTTTTTTTAAAAACAAAAATTTGGATTTTTTTTTTTTTTGGACCGGGTCGGGTCACCGATTAACCGACCGGATCACCGGTTTTTATGAAAACCGGCTGGGTCGGACCGGATCGCACCGGTTCTGATGCATGGCCGGTCAGTTGCTTCAACCAGACTGGTTATATAACCGATTTACCGGTTCCCGGGTTGACCCAGCCGGATCGGTCCGGTTTTAATAATTATGGTTGAAATAGATATTAAGGCGAGACATGAAATTACAAAGTTGTTTTGTGATCATAAATGCTCATTTTGAGTTTGGTTAAGCTATCTATTTAACCTGTTGAATTTATTGAATCATGACTTAATGATCTTGTTGATTTAATTTTTAATTCAACTTTTAAACATTAGTAAATATATAAATAAAATGAACACAAGAAACAAAAAATTTGTTAATAAATCCAATCTATACTAGTCCAGAACAGAATTTCCTTTTTAATAATTCCTTTTCTTTTTTACATGTTTTATATTTAAAAATACTACCAAAAAAGAAAAAAAGAAAAAAACTTCTTGCTAAATCTTCAGTAGGGCTGGTCTAATATAAATGTGGATATACGGCCCATACAAGATCAGGTAATGATACGGCTCCATTGCGCTCTGTCATTCATCGCAAAGACTGTATTGAACTCTTCAACTTTGTTTTACATGGGCCGATGTTAACAGAGCAACTTTTATATGGAATAAATTTATTATTGGCAGGATATTTTAATATCTGCATCGAACTAAAAAAATTGATATTAAATTTTAATCATTGATTTTTTTTTAAATTTAACGATTATAATTTTTTAAGTTATGTTTATTAATTAATTATAAATTTTTAATAAATTTTAACCGTTAAATTGATTAAAACAACCGTTAAGATTTGATATCAAATTTTTTAACCTCATTGGCATTCAAATTTAAAATATTAAAAAATTTATATACTATAAAACTACTTTATAAAAATAAGTGAATTTCGAATATATTTTATATATGTTAGTTATCAACTAAAGTATTTATGATAAATCGTTTCTATTCATAAAAAATTTCTGAAAAATGATATTCTTCTATATATTTATATTTAAAGGCTTCACACTAACTTAGTACCGCACAGTCAGGTTCTAAAAAAGATAAAAAATAAAGTAATAACATGGGAAATGGATCATGTTCATGTTAACCCAATAACATGTATTAAAAACTCGCTAAATATTTGGCCTTAAAATTTATCAACATCATGGGAATACACTGCCACTTGGGTTAAGGTACAACTGAAGAAAACAGCTACAGCTTTAGCCACTCCACTTCCAAGAGTGGATTCGGTAAGCAATAGCTCCAATAGTCTAATCTCAATGCAATCTGGTATCTGCCCCACTCCTTTACAATCTCAATCTCAATCATATAAACTATATATACAAAACTTACTAGTTCATCCTTCATCAAAATAGCCAACAAGATCATTATCCCCTTTCATCATTCAACTCTCTAATATATGAATCCCAACTAGCTTTACAAAAGGCAAAATGGCCAAAAAGTTCCCACTCATCTCTTTTTCCCTGAAAGCCATAGTACTCCACCTCTCCCTCTTTGGCATCACCATAAGGTATGCCAAAACAGATAAAGTCCTCACTCTCTACATGCATGACATCCTAGGTGGATCAACCCCTTCAGAAAGAATCGTAACTGGCATCATAGTGAACACTCAAAACAGTAACCTTCCTTTCTCAAAACCCAATAATGGGGTCTTCCCCATCAAAGGTGGCATACCATTTGTTGATACTAGCATTACCACTAATCCTGAACCAAGTTCCATGGTGGTCAGAAACATTGACAAAAACAAGGTGGTTATTGATAGGAGGAACTCACTTCCATATGTCACACCGAATCAAATCCCACTAGGAGCAACACTAGAGAAGCTTTTGTTTGGAAGAATAACAGTCATTGATGATGAAATTACAGAAGGACATGAATTGGGGTCAGTGGTTATTGGCAAAGCACAGGGATTTCATTTGGCTAGTTCATTGGATGGAAGCAGCAAAACCATGGCATTTTCAGCTTTGTTTAATAATGAAGGTCATGAGGAGGATGCTATTAATTTCTTTGGAGTACACAGGACGGCTACACTTGAGTCTTATATTGCTGTAGTTGGAGGAACTGGAGAATATGACAATGCAAAAGGGTATGCGAAAATTGAGACGCTCCATTTACCTGATCAACACATGAATAATGGGGTGGAAACACTTCTTCAGATTACTGTCTACCTAAGCTAGGTGGCTCTTTTTGTTGCTTGATATTATAGAAAAGAAAAACTCATTATTCTTTGTAGGAAAATTAAAGAAGCAATAGTACCTTTGTATCTGAATGAATATATAAATATATATAACTTTCAGTTTAATTTCAGTTACTACACTTGTTGGGTTGTTTGAGATTTTATCTAGTGAAGAAAGGTTTAAGCAGAGGGGAGAAGATGAACCACTACAGACATTTTTTTTTTTTTATTGAAAAAAAAAAGTTCATGGGAATGGAAAAGGATGACCAACAAATAAAAGTCCGGCAATCCAAGACCTTTACATTGGCATTGTTCCTAAAACCTTTTAATTGACGTTTTTTAATTCTACCAGTTAAACTATATAATCATCGTTAGCGATTTGTTCGAGACTTCGACCAGGTTTTTTTGCATAGTAGATAACTTAATGTCATTAAAAATGTATTCTTTGCATACTAAGGAAAAATATATATATTAATTTTGTGTAACGCCCCATTGTACACCCGGAAGGTTAATATTGCTTTATGATATTAAGCGCAGTTACAATCACAACGATTCAATTAAAATCCGGTTAAATTTTTCTTTTTAAAACATGCCGAATTTAAAATGCCCTATTGTGTGATCATAACCATATTACGTTGCGGAACAAAATAAATTAAGTTTAACATCATATTATCATTTGGTTCGAGTTCACTAAAAAACTCTCTTCACCTTTTCTTAAATTGGAATTCCTTTACTTACTATACAGTTCTGATCTCACACTATGTTATAGATCTCTTTGTTAGCTACACATAGGTTCAAACCGCACCCAATTTGGAGCTCTGTAGCTTAAGTTATGCCAATTTTACTAAATCATGTGTATGCTGAAAACGGGCTGCGCGCTGATAGCGCTTAAGCGCCCTCCACGACCCAGTTTTTCGCACGGCAGGGCGCTTAAGCGCGCTCCAGAGAGCTCAAGCGCCCGAAGGCAGAGGAAAATGGGATTTTTAGGCAACCAATGGCGCTTAAGCGCACTCCAGGGCGCTAAAGCGCCCACCGGCAGAGAGTTTTTGGCCATCACAGGTGCATCAGGGCGCTTAAGCCCCCTGAGCGAGCTTAAGCCTCCATTTTTAGGCTTAAGCCCCCTCCACAGGGCAATTTAATATCCTTTGGTATTTCATCCATAACTTTAGTTATACAACTCCTATTTGTACGATCTTGGTCTCATTGGAAAGCCAAGAAGAAGATCTACAACTTCCATTAAGACACAAGGGTCTAAATCTATCATATAGGATATGAAATATGGACCACAAGATAGAATATCTTTACTTTTACATGGATTCTAATCTTTCAAGGTACTCATACACTAAGAGAAGCATTCATATCATTTCATCATACGTACATCTCCATTAATTACAATATTACATCATGTCTTAATTACAAATCTCATATACATGCCAAAGGACTTAGCTACAGAAGGAACATGATCAAAGCTATAAGCCATTTACAACCAGGCATTCATCACTACAATGATCATGCACTAAGTCCCTCAAAATACATATTGTGACATCAAAATATACATATAGCAATTATAAATGGCATGCAACTCAAAATATCCAGCTATCAGGTACAGTCTACTCATGCTTCTTGCCTCGATCAACCTCACCTCTATCAGTACCTGAAATGATGCCCCACAACACGGGGTGAGATATACGAATATATCACAGTAAACCAGAGGTCCTTGGAGATCACTCCACCCTAAGGTTCACTTTCGATGTACACATAATCGTAATAGCTTAACACATTCTTATCCACAAGCATCACATGCACTTCCAAGAGAGATCCACTAAGGGTTGTTTCTCTTAGGCTCTTACCACATGGAGATCCACATAAGGTTGTTTCCAAGGGAAGTCCCTAACCTCAATCTAGGAACCTCCAAGAAGGATCCACATAGGGCTGTTCCTCTTAGGCTCTAACCACATGGAGATCCACATAGGGCTGTTTCCAAGGGAAGTTCCTACCAATCATCCCCATCATAATACTATCACTCATAACCTCAATCACAATCCTCAACCATTACCTCATTCATTATTGCTACTTCTATTACCATTCCTCAATTACTCTTAAACAATCAAACATCAACCAATAATCATTAATCAATCATAACATGTATCAATGCATGAATCAATGCATGAGCATACAATTACTATCATAATTACATATCACATCTCATAAACCATTTCTCCTCAACGGAGTATGGTGGAACACTCAATGGGATCAACCCCAAGGTCCAAAGGTTTACCTTACTCTTGCACTTTCCTTAAAGCTTTCCTTTCCTCAAACCACACAATCTCCAATCATCACCAAGACAACCTATAGTCAAGGCAAGAGATGTGTTGATCAACTCAATCCACACATAAGTACTAAGTCTAGAACTAGACAAACATCTCAATCATTCTACATTACTCATAATTTCAACATTAACTTGACTTACCCTTTCAACCCAAAACTAGGTTTTTGCTCCAATGGCTCCTCCAAAGGCTTCTCCTTTACCCAAGGGTCACCTTGCTCATAACTACACATAAAACAACATAACAACACATCAAAATCCATCCCAACATAGATGAATTTCGTGGTCACTATTCACCCAAAACCTAGATTCATGAAAATTCAAGGAAAACAAGAATTTAATGGTGGAAACTTACCCCAAATCATCTTAGAATACTTGGGGAATGACTCATCAAGCTCCAAGGCACCCAAATCACCCAAAAACCCTCAAATCTCCCAAATTTTCGAAATGTAAATGGTGAAATATCTCCCTATACAATGACCCCCAACAAGAACCAAGCTATGGGTTTTGTAGAGGAGGAGATTTGACACACTTTAGGCTTTTGAATCACTAAGATTGGTTAAGGTTTGATGGAGCTAGGTTCTCTCTCTCTCTCTCTTCTTCTTCTCCTCCTTCCTTCCTTTATTTCTTTCTTTCATGTTGTTCGACGGGTTGGGGGGAAAGAAATGGGTTTTCTTTGTTTGCTTAGTCACTTAACATAAGTTAAGTGGATATTGGTTCATCTATCTATTCAACTTCATTCACCACCAAACTTTACCCATAGGTCTGGAATATTTTTCTAGGAGTATTTACATTTTTATTTTTATATTTTGGGTACTTTTGCCTACACCCGTTTATACCCCTTAATTTCTACTGAGTACACTTTTTACCTCAAAATTGACCCCAATCCACTTAATTAAGCCTTATTCTTAATTTTACTCACTAATACATGCTTAATTACTTAATTAAAAATAATTAATTAAATACTTAACTTAGGGATATTATATTCACCCCACCTTTTTAGCGATTTTGTCCTCAAAATCGACAGAACTACTCATCCAATCAACTAGGGATTTATCAGAGAATTCTTCTTGTGTTTCCGATGTTACCCCGTTTATTACTTCCTCTTTTCCTTATCATCTTATCATAAGTTGGAATCTTTCATTCATGAATCAATCTATGTTTTTATAATTAGGTGATACTAATATATTCAAGCACTTTTATCTTTCATTTTCCTCAAGGGTCATACCTATTCCCTCGGTATTCAACTCTGACCTTCTGCGGTCCAACAAATAACCTTATACAAAAATCTCATTTGATGAAACTTCCAAGAGAGATCCGCTATGGGCTGTTTCTCTTAGGTATCTGACCACAAGGAGGTCCCGAAGGCTAACTCCAAGGGAAGTTCCCCTCAATCTAGACCTTTAATGAGAATTCTCTATCTCATAGGATACTATCCTCATGGAGGTAATGCTACCACTTCCATGGAAAGGTCATTGCATACAGCTTATCATCTTTTAGCAATCTACATAGCCCAGTCTTTAATCAATAGACATAACTAATCACACAATCATAATTCGGTCCACAGTCTAGGCATGTGTGGCTCCAACCTCAATAAACTATGCATGTCATATTAATATACATGCGTCATACCTCCCCTCAAGTATGGGAACCTCTCTAGCTGGGGTTGGGTCGAAGTGCTAACATGTGCCGCTGCTGGAAGATCAGAGACCACTTGCACATGAGCAACTCGTCCCACGATCTGGGGACAATCCCTCGCATAGTGACCAGGTCTACCACACTTAAAACATATGTTATGGCCCATCAAACAAACGCCCTTGTGATGCCTGCCACAATTGTCACACTTTGGCACAATAGGTCTTTCATTGTCCCAACTCTGTTGACTCCCGCTTCTTTTAAACTTTTCTTCAGACTGTCTAGCTTATAATTTTTCTTTGATATTCCTGTCATCCATCTTCTTACCCTTTTCTGAAGTAGAGCCAGTTGCTCCACTAGCACCAGATGCTTGTGCCTCGGAAGACTTCTTACTTTTCGGCACATTATAAACTTCTTCCACCTTCCGGCATTGGTTCACGAATTTGCTAAACTCACGGATATCACAATTTGACATCTTCCGAGACATCTTCTCATTCAGACCCCATTGAAATTTAGAGGTCATCTCGGCCGGAGTGGGTAAGGCTCTCCCATAATTAGCATACTTCACCAATTCATTGAACTTGGCGAAATATTGGTCAATTGTCATCGACCCTTGCTTTAGATCATTATACTCATTCTACTTCTGTTCCCTAGCCTCCCTAGGGAAGTAGTTATCCAAGAACAACGTCTCGAACAACCGCCAGGTGATTTTCCGGCCTTCAGCTTCTAAGGGCTGCACGGTATTAGTCCACCAATCCTCAGCTTCCTCTTCCAGTATATACACAGAGTAGACCAACTTCATTGCATCAAGGCACCTCATCACCCTGAAGATCTTCTCCATAGCCTAGAGCCATTTTGCTGCCGTCATTGGGTCATAGCCTCCTTTAAAAGAAGGAGGTTTGTGTTTTCTAAAGGCCGCCAGTCTCCTTTCTTCAGCTTCATGTTCATCGACATGCTCTACACGTGGTTGACGAACCTCAGCATGATGACTATGACTATCAGAATGGTGACTAGCCTCACCCTCATTGTTTCTCGCTACACCCTCCTCCTGTAGAAGAGGTGGAGAAGGCGTGGCAGTGTGAGGAGGAGGAGTGGATTGCCGGTTCTCATGTCTAGCACCCCTCAACGTCCTCAACTCGTTCATCATCGCGGCCATAGCATTCCACGAGTCTTCATTTGTTTTCCTCATATTTTCGTTGGCTTGCCGGCTAGCAGTCAACTCTCTTTGCACAGCTGCAAGAGTTTCAGCCACGAGATCAGACTGCCCGCCCGTTGCCCCACGACCACTTCGGGGCCTAACAAAAGCAGCCAAAATAGGTTCTGGCTGAGCATTGGCATTCGATGCCTCAGGGTTGTTCCGAGACCTCGTCATGACACTACATATGTTACAAAAAGAAATGAGTTGATCAGGCTCACACTCAGTGATCACAGATGCAATAATCATACAGAGTACCTAAAACAACTACAAAACATTAAGCACCAAGCAAACATAACATCAATCCACAAGTTTCCCTACGAAACTGCTCTGATACCACAAAATGTAACGCCCCGTTGTACACCCGGAACGTTAACATTGCTTTATGATATTAAGCGCAGTTACAATCACAAGGGTTCAATTAAAATATGGTTAAACTTTTCTTTTTAAAACATGCCGAATTTAAAATGCCCTATTGTGTGATCATAACCATATTACGTTGCGGAACAAAATAAATTAAGCTTAACATCATATTATCATTTGGTTCGAGTTCACTACAAAACTCTCTTCACCTTTCCTTAAATTGAAATTTTTTTACTTACTATACAGTTCTCATCTCACACTATGTTATAGATCTCTTTGTTAGCTACACATGGGTTCAAACCACACCCAATTTGGAGCTCTGTAGCTCAAGTTATGCCAATTTTACTAAATCATGCGTATGCTGAAAATGGAGGATGCTATTAGTTTCTTTGGAGTACACAGGACGGCTACACTTGAGTCTTATATTGCTGTAGTAGGAGGAACTGGAGAATATGACAATGCAAAAGGGTATGCGAAAATTGAGACGCTCCATTTACCTGATCAACACATGAATAATGGGGTGGAAACACTTTTTCAGATTAGTGTCTACCTAAGCTAGGTAGCTCTTTTTGTTGCTTGATATTATAGAAAAGAAGAACTCATTATTCTTTGTAGGAAAATTAAAGAAGCAATACTACCTTTGTATGTGAATGAATATATAAATATATATAACTTTCAGTTACTACACATGTTGGGTTTGTTTGAGATTTTTTTTAATGAAGAAAGGTTTTAAGGAGAGGGGAGAAGCTGAACCACTACAAATACTTTTTTTTTTTTTATTGAAAAAAAAAAAAAGTTCGTGGGAATGGAAAAGGATGACCAATAAATAAAAGTCCGACAACCCAAGACCTTTACATTGGCATTGTTCCTAAAACCTTTTAATTGACTTGTTTTAGTTCTACCAGTTAAACTATATAACCATCATTAGCGATTTGTTTGAGACTTTGACCAGGTTTTTTTGCATAGTAGATAACTTAATGTCATTAAAAAGGTATTCTTTGCATACTAAGGAAAAATATATATATTAATTTTGGAATAAAAATTTTCTCGTGTATAACTTTAAGGAAAAGGAACAGGAATTATACACGTCATAGAATACAGAACTCTATTTCAAAGTTTTAATCAAATAAATGTTACTTATTTAATCTTTTTTATACACATATGTCTCTTGTAATTTAGTATATTAAGCTTGCATTAACTCAACATGAGAATACTATGTAAGATAAATGAAAAATAAAATGTAATGCAAATTACAGGACACATTATCTGTAACACTCCGTTCTAGAACCGGAGAACCGGTTTGTTAACATTACGTACGGCATTAAGCGCAGTTACAATCACAAAATTGAATTAAAATACGGATAAACCTTTTTGCTTATTATATATAAACGTTTTTGTTTAAAAACCAATTCCGTAATTAAAACAATTCAATAATATGATCATAACTTAAACTATATGTGGAATTACTTTTTGTAAGTTTGATTCAGAACGTACGTTGCTACCATAGTGTGCCATGTAGTCCCCTTAGACCATCAAGGCTAAAAACTCTTTTTTTTTTTTGTTCAACACTAAACACCTCCATTTTTTAGTCACCTAAGAAATTTTATACTAGTTATATGATTCTCATCTTCCAATATGTTATAGATCTCTTCGTTATCTACGCGTAGGTTCAAACCGCGCTCAAATCAGAGCACCGTAACCTAAGTTATGAATTTTCTACGAAACGAGTGCGGAACCTACTGGTTTTTTTTTGTTGTTCAACACTAAACACCTCCATTTTTTAGTCACCTAAGAAATTTTATACTAGTTATATGATTCTCATCTTCCAATATGTTATAGATCTCTTCGTTATCTACGCGTAGGTTCAAACCGCGCTCAAATCAGAGCACCGTAACCTAAGTTATGAATTTTCTACGAAACGAGTGCGGAACCTACTGGTCCCGGCGCGATTTGCGCCAACACTGGCGCGATTTGCGCCAAGAAACATAAGCTTTCAAGAAAAATGGCGCGAGCACACTGAAAAGTCTCGTGTTAGTATGTGGGGATAGTCATTGATTTTTGAAGCGTTCGGGCGTTAGAGTATCCAAGTCATTAGACAAGCAAGAGCATACCCAACATGTGTCAGGATTACAGGATTACACAAATGTAATGATGGCAAAACTACATGTTCAATTGAACACCTTGGGCTAATTCTTCTCTCTGACTTCATCTAACAACAAACAGCTATCAAAGAGTAAAGCAGAGATTTGATCTCATATACATGGATAATAAAAATAAAAAGGAGATCTAGTGGCACAATCAAATTGAGGCATTAACATTTCCTTTTTCGAAAGTACAATACGCTCACATAGTGAGATTCATTACACGAAAATACAAATATTTTGTCATAATTGTAAGTTGAAACCAGAAAGTTCATAGCATATTAAGACACCCTAATAAGCAAGATAAGCAGTGAGCTGCAACAGAGTCTCCACTCCATCATTATTATGTTGCTGATCAGTTACCGGAAAGGTCTTAATAATAGCATAGCCCTCAGCATTAACATACTTTCCGGTGCCTCCAATTATGGCAAGTTGGGATTCTGAAACTTGTGTTCGATGCACACCAAAGAAACTGAGACTATCAGCATAACCATTCTCTTCAAACTTGGCGGTGAAAGCCATTACCTGGCTGGTTCCATCAACTGCACTTGCTATATAAAAGCCCTGTGCTTTCCCAACCAAACCTGATCCCAATTCATTCCCTTCTGTTAATTCATCATCAAACACAGTCATTGTTCCAAACATCAACTTCTGCAGTGTCATTCCTTGCGGGAGTTGATTCGTATTTGTCACTGGGAAACCAGCCCCACCGTTGTTGACTAAGTTGTTTCCCTTGTTGCTGAACACGTTCCCTGTGTTTCCACTGAGTCCGGTGAGGAAGGGAAGGTTGTTGTTGTTGAGAATTCCATTGTTGTTATTGTTCTGTGGAACGCCATTGTTGAGAGGAAGGTTTGCACCGTTGGGCTTAGCAAATGCAACTTGAGCGTTGAGAGCAGGGTTTGTAACAACTCCAGTTACTGCTCTCGCTGTGGGGTTTGAGCCACCGAGAATGTCATGCATGAAAAATGAGAGTGTGTGGTGGTTGTGGTCAGCATCAGTGACTGTGGCACCGGTGGCTGCAGCAGGGGCAGCTGCCACCAGTGGAGGGACAATGGAAGAAACAGGGGACTCAGCAGAATGAGGTTCTTCTGGTGCTGCGGTTGGGGTTTCTAGCTCATCAAGGATTCGAGTTGAAGTAGTGGAAGTGACTGCAAGTAATATAAATGCTAGAAAGATTATGGGCTTCAAAGGCATAGTCATAGAAAGAGATTCGAAGTTTGCCATAGGAGTATTTGATAGTTTTGAGGTTGTAGTTTGATGAGATGATAAAGAGTAATAAGGACAGGTATAAATACTTGGACTTCCAAAACTCATTTTGCTGAACGAAATGATGGAGTTGATGAGAGGAGTGGTTGATGACTGCAACTGATCTTATTTTTCAATTCCCAAAAGTTCTAGTTGTAGCAGTTCGAACTAGACAGTGCCTATTATAAGTAAGAAGAATATTCTTACTATCAATTTATTATATGTTGGAGACTTCATAAAATTTTCAGAAATTGTTTGCTAAAATGTGAGATTCAACCGTGATAAAATAATAATAAATTAGTAGTAGGAATATTTTGCAATAAGAATATTCTAGTAAACTTTAAAAGTAAATCTTTGTGACTGGAAATCTGACGCCCTGAGCTCAAAAAACATAATGACAAAGGTTTTTCTATTTATTTCCACTTCTGTAACCATTTTAGAAAAAAGGGAATGAAACATAGTTTTCTTCCAAATTCTACATTGACATTAGCAAATCTTTATATCTTAACCTAGATGAAGACTTTCCTATGGTGTAGACTTTTAACTAGCCTGTTAGGTAACTCTAAGCTTTTATTTTTTGTGGGGTTCATATGGGCAGTGAAAAGAATATAGAGAAAACAAAAATATAAACATCACGCATTTTTATGTGTAGGTAAGAAATAATTTTATCTGCTACTAAATAAGATATATTAAACCCTTTATTTTTTTGACAAAATATCTAGCCCAAACTTTAAAATAACAAAAAAATTATAATAGACAAGATGATAAGCCAAATTAATATTTGGAAGCAATATTCTTACTATCAAAAAACTCATTACCAACCCCCTCTCTAATTAGTAATTACTATTGGTTTAGCATTTTGTCTTTCTTCAAAGTTTTTTCAACATTATCTATATGATCCAATAAAAATTAAATAAATAGTAGATTGATAATAAAATTTTTTGATAATAAGAATATCTCACTTTTAATATTTTACAAAACAAGTTTGGGCCTATTTAAGTAAGGATAGGTTATTCTGCCTATTATTTTTCTGCCTACTTTTCCCTACCACTTTAAAACATCATTAGATCAGAATCTTAACTAACACTTATCTTTCTCTCTCTTCTAAATATTCTGATATAACGATATTGAAGAATAATAGACAAAAGTAGACAGAAAAAATGATAAGTAGAATATCTTATCCCATTTAAGTAAGGCAAAAGTTATACTTATTACCTATTTTTCTTACTACTTCTTACTACCAAATCTTAACTGTTGATTTTCATCAATCTAACGGTTATAATTTATTGGAAATTAATAATTAATTAATAAGCATGACCCCATAAATTATAACCATTAGATTGGCGGAAATCAATAGTTAAAATTTAATAGTAAGAAGTAGTAAAAAAAATAGATACCCTCAGGCTTTGATTGGGAGTTGGTTTTAGGAAGGCAAGGGAATGGAGGATTTTAGTAAGCTCTTCCCTTATTTGTGAGTTTAAAAAAAGGAGGGGAAGAGTTTGAGGATTTTTACTAAACCCTCATTCTTCTTAAAATTAAAGTTCCCCCAATTTAGAGGGTTTGAGGGAAAAAATATTAAAAATTACTTATCTACCCTTAGCATTAAAATGTTAAAACTACATAATTGTGAATCATTTTTAAACACGATATTATTAGAAAAGTCTCAAATACTGACAGAATTTATTGACGAAAAATATTTCGTCAAAAATAGTGAAGAATTTTTTTATGAAAATCATATACGTCAAAAAAAAAATTGTCATAATCACTAACATAAATTTTGTACGAAAAAAAAAATTCAGTCAAAATTATTGATAGAATCTAAATTGCGTCGAAACTTTTAACGAAAATATTTCCGTCCAAAATTTTGATGAAACATATTTCCATCGAAAAGTTTCGACGTAAAAAAATTACGTCAAAATTTTTTACTGAAAATATTTCCATCAAAATTTTGACAAAAAATATTTCTCTAAACAACTTTGACGAAATTTTTTTTTTGTCAAAATTCTTCACGAAATCTAAATTTTACCAAAATATTTCACAAAAGAACATATTCATCGAAATTTATGAGGAAAAATTTCAACGAAACACATTTCTATCGAAAATTGTTGACGAAAAAATTTCATCAAAATTCTTAACAGAATTTAAATTTCGCCAAAAGTTTTCGACGGAAATATTTTCGTTAAACTTTTAGGCAAAAAAAATTCCAGTTGAAATTTTTAACGAAATACATTTCCATCGAAAATTTTCGACAGAAAATATTTCCGTCAAGTTTTTTGATATAAAATATTTCCATCAAAATTTTCAACGGAACACATTTCTGTCAAAAAATTACGACAGAAAATATTTTCGTAAAAATTTTTGACGGAAAATATTTCGACAAAAAATTTTGACAGAAAAAATATTCTGTCAAAATTCTTTACAAAATCTAAATTTCGTCAAAAGTTTGAGTGAAACATTTCCCTCAAAATTTCTAACAAAACAATTTCTGTCAAAATTTTCATCATAACACATTTCCAACGAAATTTTGAACGGAAAACGTTCTGTCAAAATGTTTGAAAGAATTCTTTTTTCATTTAAAACATCTGATGGAGGAAATCATTTTCGTCAAAACTTTTGATGAAAACTAAATTTCGTCGAAAATTTTGATAGAAATTTATTTCTATAAAAATTTTCATCGGTTGAAAAATTCCGTCGTTTTTCGATGAAAAGTATTTCGACGATTCATCGTTTGCAACGTAAAAATTTCATGGAAAAATAATCTTTTATGGTGTTGTGAAAAGTACATAAATAATTTTTTTTAGAAATTTTAAATTTAATTTAATTTAATCTGTAAAGTATAATAATTATATTAATTCAAAAAAAAAAGGTAAAATGGTAAAAATATCTCATTGACCCTCCATTATCCTCTCATTCCTTTTTTTTTTACTCCCAAACAAGGGAAGAGAATGCCCTCCAATTTTCTCCCCTTCGTTCCCCTCCCTCCCCCTTGGATCCCCTTCCTTTCCAAACTCTCAAACAAGCCTTAGACTCTGTTTGAGAGATGGTTTTTGGAGGGGAAGAGAAGGGAAGGGGGGTTTTTAGGAAACTCTTCCCTAGTTTGTGAGTTAAAAAAAATGAGGGAAAGAAATTGTGAGTTTTTACTAAACCTCCAAAACCCTCTTGCTTTTTAAAATTTAAGTTCCCCCAATTTGGGAGGTTTGAAGGGAAAAATATTAAAAATTACTTATCTACCCTTAGCATTAAAATGTAAAAACTACATAATGTGAATCATTTTTAAATGTGACATTATTAGAAAAAACTCAAATACCGACAGAATTTATCGACAAAAAATATTTCGTCAAAAATAGTGATGAAATTTTTGATGAAAATCATATACGTCAAAAAACTTCCCTCAAAACTAAAGACGAAATTAGAGATGGAACAAATTTTGCCATAATTACTGACATAAAAATTTTACGAAAAAAAAATTCAACCAAAATTATAGATAGAATCTAAATTCCGTCAAATCTTTCCACGAAAATATTTTCGTCCAAAATTTTGAAGAAACACATTTCCATCGAAAAGTTTTTACATAAAACAATTACGTCAAAATATTTTACGATAAACATTTCTGTAAAAAATTGTGACGAAAATTTTTTTTGTCATAATTCTTTACGGAATCTAAATTTCGTCAAAACATTTCCCTCAATATTTTTCACAAAAACACATATTCATCGAAAATTTTCACGAAAAATATTTCCATCGAAATTTTTTGACAGAAAAAAATTTCATCAAAATTCTTTACAGAATTTAAATTTCGTCGAAAGATTTTTACGGAAATATTTTCGTAAAATTTTTTGACAAAAAAATTCCTGTCAAAATTTTTAGCGAAACACATTTGCATCGAAAATTTTCTACAAAAAATATTTCCGTCAATTTTTCGATAAAAAAATATTTCCATCAAAATTTTCAACGGAACACATTTCTGTCAAAAATGTTTGACAGAAAATATTTCTGTAAAAAATTTTGACAGAAAAAATATTCTGTTAAGATTTTTAACAAAACTCATTTCCATTGAAAAAATTTCGTAAAAAGTTTTGACGAAAAAAAATTCGTCAAAATTCTTAACACAATCCAAATTTCGTCAAAAGTTTTCGACGAAAATATTTTCGTTATACTTTTTGACGAAAAAAAGTTTCGTCAAAATTTTTGACGTAACACATTTCTATCGAAAATTTTTGAAATCTTTTTTTTTTCGATAAAAAACTTTTCTATCAAAATTTTCAATGGAACACATTTTTGTCAAAAAATTTCAACGGAAATTATTTTCGTAAAAAAATTCGACAAAAAACATTTTTGTAAAAAATTCCAAAAAAAATATTATGTCAAAATTCTTTATAAAATCTAAATTCTGTCTAAAGTTTCACAGAAACATTTCCCTCAAAATTTTTGAAAAAATAATTCCGTATCAATTTTCATTGAGACACATTTTCATCGAAGATTTTGGACGAAAAATTTTTCGTCAAAATTTCTGAAGGAATTCTTTTTTCCATCAAAACTTTTGATGGAATTTTTTTTGTCGAAAATATTTAACAAATCATTTTCGTCAAATCTTTTGACGAAATCTAAATTCCGTGAAAAATTTTGACTGATATTTTATTTTTGTAAAATATTTCAGCGGATAGAAATTCCATCGTCTTCGATGAAAAGTATTCCGACGGAAAAATATTTTTTTGACAAAATTTTTGTCATTTTCAACGTAGGATTTTTGTTGAAAATATGATATTTTTTAGTAGTCTGAAAAATACATAAATAAAATTGTGAAATATAATAATGATATTAATTTTTGAAAAAAGGTAAAATTGTAAAAATTTCTTATTGACCATCCAATTTTTTCCTTACTATTTTTTTAACTCCCAAATAAGGGAAGAGAATACCCTCTAATTATCTTCCATTCCTTCCTCTCCCTCCCGCTGGCATCCTCTCCCCTCCCCTCCCCTCCAAACTCCCAAACAAAGCTAAAGTAAAACTTAGTTAACTTATTTCAAGTTTCAACCCTTTTCTACAACCTCTAGGTTACACCCAACACAATAAGAGTTATCCAACCACGTAGAACTAGAATTTTCACAATCACTCCCCTTCTTCCAGTTTTCAATTATTATATTAAATTTCGATTTGAATGACAAGTAGGATTTCTCCCTTCCCGCTTGAATGATCTATCAAAGAACCAAAGCGATTAATCGAAATCCATTGCTCCATTATGCAAAGCATGGCAGCACAGGTCGACCCCATGAACGAATTCAAAGGGCAACTTCAAAGCTTCGCAAGTGCATTCCTTTCATCACCGAACTCAAAGATGTGGAAGACCCAGAGGAAGCCTTATCTCTTTTTCACGATTACAAGGAACGGGGTTTCAGGCACTATTACCCTTCCTATGCTGCTTTACTCTACAAACTGGCTCGTTCTAGAAAATTCGAAGCCGTTGAAACCATTCTTACTCAAATGCAAGAGACTGACATGCACTGCAGAGAGAGCGTTTTCATGGCTCTGTTTGAACACTACGGCAAAGCGTCACTTCCTGAAAAAGCTTTTGAACTCTTTCGCAGAATGCCTCGGTTCAATTGCGTCCGCACGTTGCAGTCCTTCAATGCGCTTCTCAATGTTCTCGTCGATAATGATCGGTTTGCCCAGGCCAATGATGTTTTTTATCGATCCTATGAGATGGGTTTTCGTCCAAACACGGTTACGTTCAATATAATGATCAAGGGCTGGTTGGCAAAGGGTGAGTGGGAAAAAGCATGTGAGGTGTTTGATGAAATGCTTCAGAAAACAGTACAGCCGAGTGTTGTGACTTATAATAGTCTCATTGGTTTCTTTTCTAGAAAGGGTGATTTGGATAAAGCAATGGCCTTGCTTGAGGACATGAACCAGAAAAGAAAACGCGCAAATGAAGTAACTTATACACTGTTGATGGAAGGCTTGTGCTCTGTGGGAAAATATGAGGAAGCTAAGAAGCTAATGTTTGATATGGCGTATCGCGGGTGTAAACCTAGGGTGGTCAATTTTTCTGTTTTGATGAATGATCTCGGAAAGAGAGGAAAGATTGAGGAGGCCAAGTCTTTACTCCATGAGATGAAAAAGAGGCGGCTTAAGCCGGATGTTGTAGCATACAATATATTGATAAATTATCTTTGCAAGGGAGGTAAGACAGCAGAAGCTTACAAAGTCTTAATTGAGATGCAGATTGGAGGCTGTGAGCCAAATGCTGCTACATACAGGATGATGGTTGATGGTTTGTCCCGGATTGGGGATTTTGAGGTAGGTCTGAATGTTTTGAATGCAATGCTAGCCAGTAGACATTGCCCGCGTTCTGAAACATTTAATTGTTTTGTTGTTGGCCTATTGAACTCTGGGAATGTTGATGGTGCCCGCTTTGTTTTGGAAGAGATGGAGAAGAGAAAGGTAGAATTTGATTCAGAGGGCTGGGAAACTATAATAAAGTATGCTTGCAGTGAGGATAAGGGTGCAAGTGGGCTTGTGACTATACTTACATCTCCATCCATCTAGTGCATTTGGTATGGGCCAAATGTCTAGATCTTTCGTGGTTATTTTTCTTGTCTGTTCCAGGATATCATTTTGAATTCCCTTTACCCAGGTTCTAATCCCATATGATAGTAAGATGGTGGTTTTCCTGGGACATATGTTCCAAGGTAGTAATGAATAGTTTCATTTCAAGGTGAACAAATTGTTTTCAATGGTGGATATATGTTGTTGCTTAGCTTAGAAGATGAGTGGTATTTGCTGGCAAAGATGAATGCAGAGTCTTGGGAGTTTGTATCCGTGGTCTGAATTTCATCCCTGCCAATTAGTTGGCTTAAAAAATGTTTTGATGAAACCTGAAAGATAAGTCCAACAAGTTGACTCGACTGTTTAAGGGCCTCTTTAAATTCTCCTGCTATATTTTGGTTGTAGCCCTTGACGAACATGTACATCTCTGTATCATCTTTTCTACTTTTAAAGTTTAAAGTTTTCAGCTTTTTAAAGAATTGTAATCCGCAACATAAAAAAGGCACCGTTACTGTTTTAAACTTGTAATACAGTTTTGGTCTAATGGTTTCAGCATCTCAGTGATTACTTTGTTCCACTTCTATTTCTCTCACTCATTTATCTTCTCCTGTTTCTTACCCTCACCCATGTCCCAGATTTATTTCCACTTTCCCCTCAATAAAACCAGAGAAAAGAAAAGGATTGAAAACCAGAAGTTGGTAATCTAAAGTTGGAAATGCTTTAATGTTCTGGACCAAGAAATGTTCTCTCTCTTTTCTTTTTTATATACGAAGAGTGTATCAAGTCAGCAAAATATTATTGTAAGAGTAAGGGAGGGATCCGAGAGAGAAAAAATATTAGGATAAGAACTTATAAAATTATCATCTTTGATTTATTTGTTAATGAGTAGAATCATCTCACATAACATGGTGATGTTCCAATAACACATTTTGTTCAAGTATTTGCCATTTCTTGAAGTACTTTTTTTAAATAACAAAAAAAAAAAAAAAAAACTTTCGTTTTTGTGGTTTTATCTTCCGTTTACAGAATTGTAATATCAAATTTGTGGGGTTTTTTAATTTTATACTTGTTTTGACATTCCATAATTACGCGGCAAAAAGCAAGATTGTTCTGACGATACTTTTTTTTTTGTTTTTTGTTTTTTTGGAAATCTCTGATAATACTGTTTTAGGTCTATGAATTGTTACTTTTGTCGATCAAAAATCATCTCACATTCTTTCTCATCTGAGCTTGAGGTGATAAGAGACACCTTATGGACCAAACCAACTAGTAATTATTAATTAAAAGCCGAAGGCAGAAAGTTTGACTTGACGTGGTTGAGGAATTGTGGCAGTTACGCATTCTTGTGCTTTCAGCCTAGGAAAACTGTACTTGGACAGTAATGAGTAATGACAATAAAGAATGTCTTACAAAGATTATTTTTAAGTTTGTTTAGTTCTAACTACAATAACGAGAATTTAGGGGATTAGTTCCATTCATCAACTACTCCTCTCATCAACTCCATCATTTCATTCTATAATTTTGGTGTTTGAACTTTGAGTTCCAAGTATTTATACCTGTCCTTATTACTCTTTATCATCTCATCAAACTACAACCTCAAAACTATCAAATACTCCTATGGCAAACTTCGAATCTCTTTCTATGACTATGCCTTTGAAGCCCATAATCTTTCTAGCATTTATATTACTTGCAGTCACTTCCACTACTTCAACTCGAATCCTTGATGAGCTAGAAACCCCAACCGCAGCACCAGAAGAACCTCATTCTGCTGAGTCCCCTGTTTCTTCCATTGTCCCTCCACTGGTGGCAGCTGCCCCTGCTGCAGCCACCGGTGCCACAGTCACTGATGCTGACCACAACCACCACACACTCTCATTTTTCATGCATGACATTCTCGGTGGCTCAAACCCCACAGCGAGAGCAGTAACTGGAGTTGTTACAAACCCTGCTCTCAACGCTCAAGTTGCATTTGCTAAGCCCAACGGTGCAAACCTTCCTCTCAACAATGGCGTTCCACAGAACAATAACAACAATGGAATTCTCAACAACAACAACCTTCCCTTCCTCACCGGACTCAGTGGAAACACAGGGAACGTGTTCAGCAACAAGGGAAACAACTTAGTCAACAACGGTGGGGCTGGTTTCCCAGTGACAAATACGAATCAACTCCCGCAAGGAATGACACTGCAGAAGTTGATGTTTGGAACAATGACTGTGTTTGATGATGAATTAACAGAAGGGAATGAATTGGGATCAGGTTTGGTTGGGAAAGCACAGGGCTTTTATATAGCAAGTGCAGTTGATGGAACCAGCCAGGTAATGGCTTTCACCGCCAAGTTTGAAGAGAATGGTTATGCTGATAGTCTCAGTTTCTTTGGTGTGCATCGAACACAAGTTTCAGAATCCCAACTTGCCATAATTGGAGGCACCGGAAAGTATGTTAATGCTGAGGGCTATGCTATTATTAAGACCTTTCCGGTAACTGATCAGCAACATAATAATGATGGAGTGGAGACTCTGTTGCAGCTCACTGCATATCTTGCTTATTAGGGTGTCTTAATATGCTATGAACTTTCTGGTTTCAAATTACAATTATTGCAAAATATTTCTATTTCGTGTAATGAATCTCACTATGTGAGCATATTGTACTTTTGAAAAAAGAAAAAAAATGTTATGCCTCAATTTGATTGTGCCACAAACCACAACCGAAGTTTATTGCTTTTCTCTTTTTTGTCCTTTGAATCCCAATATTCAAAGGCTTTTCTTTCTTTTTTTCTATCATGGATGTGTATTGTATATATTGATAGCTGTTTGTCTTTTGGTAAAGTTAGAAAGAAGAATCAGCCTCAGATGTTCAATCGAACATGTGGTTTTGCCATCATTACAGTTCTGTAATTCTTACACATTCAGGTATGCTTCTGCTTGTTCTCTAATGACTTTGATATATGTTGTTCTCCAATTCTATATATATAATACCCACATTTATTTCCGATTTATTTTACACAGTATTCTGTAGTCTCACCTATTATCTTTGTTAGGGATAGGTTATTTTACCTACTTCTTTCTCTGCTTACCTTTACCTATCACTCTAAACTACTATTAGATTAAAATCTTAACTAATCTTTATCTTTCTCTCTCCTCTTAAGATTTTGATATAACGGTGTTAGAGAATAGTAGGCAAAGGTAGACAAAAAAAATAGCAGGTAGAATAATCTATCCTGGAAACATTTTTACATAGTTAAAATAGAGATGAAATTCACCCCACACAAAAAAAATAGAGATGAAAAAAAAAGAACTAACACATAAGATTTTGGAAAACCATCAATTTATAAGGAAAAATTAACGGATAATAATAGATAAATTTTTCATTTAAGTGATAGAAAAGCTCTCTATAAATTCATCTAAAAGATAGTATATGAATTTTCTCTCTATACGAGGATGTGATGATTAAAAATGATGGAGAAGTCATATAAGGTGGGTTTGGTACCAGTTTTATTTTAGTTTCTTGGGAAAACATCATAGGGAAAATAACAATGCCATGTTTGGTATGAAAAAAAGCCAAACTTTCTAGGGTAAATTTTTTTCTCGAAAATAGCTTTTGTGTGTAAATTTATGTACGGTTCCCATTAGATTATGTGGAATTTTTTGTTGCTCAAAAAAGTAAATAGTGACCCTTGAAGGAATAGACCACATTACCCTTTGGTTTGTACGAAGAAATGGTGTCACGTACAGAACTTTTTGAATCAAAATAAAAATGGGGTTATTTTGGTAAAATAATCTCACAATCCCACTAATATTTCACAATCAACCAAACACAAACTCAATAAACTTAACCACAAAATTTCAGAAAAATTTGGACCTACCAAACACATTTTTAGTCACATTTTTGGATAACTCATTTTCCCACCATATTCCAGAGAATCAAGATTTTCGGGTAAACAAAAATTTCTTCTCTACAAAATGCAACCAAAATGTCATGTCAATACACATTATCAGGTTCAGCAGGTTTTGTTTCGCCATGTGATGTAGCGTTCAAGACGTGAGACATAGTTAGTCAAAGATTTTTCGTCGAGCACTATGTAGGAACGATGTCGACACGAGACACTATATGATATGACTTTTTAATAAGATAATTCTAAACAAATATTAAATTTTGACACATTTTGATATTAAATAATATTTTTAATTTATGTAGTATATATTATATTTAATATTCAATAATTTAATAAAAAATAAAACTAAATTTATAATAATCCATTAATTTTGCAAAGAAACATAAGATATATTATTATATTTTTAAATTGAAAATCATTTATACACTCTAATGAGATTTATTCGGTATCTATTTTTTAATTTTTATTATATCAATTTGGTAAAACATCGATCATTTTTTCATGATATGTATTGAAATTTCAAATATTATATATGTCGGAGCGTGTCAGAGTGTCGGGGAGTGTCAAACACGACACTTCAGATTTTTTGAAGTGTCGGTACAATATAGGTTGAGCCTAGAGTGTAACACCTCGTTCATGACTGATTTGTTATCATTGACATTAAGCGCAGTTGCAATCACAACAATTGAATTAAAAATACGGATAACTTTTTCTTTCTTCTGTTGACGTTGGATTTTCTTCTTGAACTTTTTTCGTAATTAAAATAACTCAACCATGATTATAACTCAATATTTATGTGGAAGATTTATTCTTTATTTAAGTTTATCATTTAATAATGTTATATCAATACCATAATGGCCCCAAAAATCAATATAGCACAAATCTCATTTTTTTCTCGAATGTGTCACTAAGTAATTGATTACCTTTCTGGTGGTAATCGACCACTAAACTGGGTAGTCGATTACCAAACTGGGGATAATTGATTACTAGCTCCATACAAAAGCTCAGCTTCCAACCCCTGTTACGTGGTAATTGATTACCCACATGATGGTAATCAATTACTGAACTGGGTAATTGATTACCATGGTGAACATAGCTTATTGGTTAACTCTCTATTAAAAATACATATATTATTTTTTATTTTTTAATGTTACATTTTAAATTGTTTTGAAATAATTATGAAATATTTTTTAAATTTTTATTTTCTTTCTTATTAATTTATCTAAACTAATTATGCATAAAAATTTTACAATATAAATTTTTTAAGGTGAGGTTGGATTCAGGTTTGACTCCATTAGATTTTGGAAAAATGAACCATTGAAGAACTTATAAAAGTGAAAAAGAATTGCAAATAAATTTTAATACAAAGAAGAAATTAATTAATCTCAATATCAATTAATTAATTAATTCATATAAAAAATTTATTAAGGCAATTACTTTTAAGTTTTTTTAAAAAATTTTAATTTATTTATCTTTTACTTTAAAAAAATTCATATTATTTATACTTATTCAGAAATTTTGTTGTTATACCTCAAGCTATTTATCCTCTTAAATTTGCACATATATTATAAGATTAATAATCAATTCAAAATTATATCTATGATTTATATTTGAATTTCAATGTATTTTAATAAAATTATATATTTTGTATTTTGTTTTAATTAATGAAATTATAATATATGATTTTTTTAAATAAAAATTTAAAAACTAAATCAAGTTTAAACAAATTTAAATTTGATAAAATTAGATTTGATTAATTGTGTTTTTTCTCAATATTTTATATTATCTCAAGAAAATGGCAATTAGTAATTTTTGGGTTATCGCATGCATTAAATAAAGTAGTGGTTTCTAAATTTTTTATATTCCCCAATGTTTTGATCAATAATTCATAATAAATCTATAAAAATCACGTACATGGTTTAGCATTTACCAGACATATTAGGTCTTGAGCCCATTGGGCGTCTACATGTAGCGGATCTTTAAACATAATATTTAGATTAAATTTTTCAAAAAATGTTACGTTTAAGTATATTTTTTTCAAACAGTAGCAACTTGATCGTTGCCCCTCCTTTAATTAGTTCTAAAGTTAAGCAAAACTTGCATTGTCAGAACCAAGTTAGCCTGGCCGGTCGTACCGGAAATTCAGTAATCCGGTCACTTGGATATCCAGTCGGTGAAAAGATCGATCTGGTTAACTTAAATCAGAAGACTTGACTAGTTAGGGATCAAACTCCTACGACGTAATTTTGTCTGATAGATCGCTCACACCCTACTAGTGGGCTTCATTTAACACATACATAGTACAAAAAGGAATTTTTCTTAAAAAGGAAAAAAAGAAAAAAGAAAACTTGATACAAAGACTTCTAAGTTGACATAAGGCTTATGGATGAGTTACAATAATATTTATAAATAACTTATAAATAAAATTTTAATAAAGAATTATCTCAAAGCCTTTTTTTTTAAAAAAAATATATAAATAAAAAAGCAACCTAACCCAATATATTAAATTTTAAATTTTACATTTTACAAGTTAAGTCAACCATTAATGGCATGAATATTTAAGTTTTAATCAACACTTGCAAATTTAGACATAACCAGTACATAAGACTCATGTAAAATCTGCCAATACAAAAAGTGGAAGAAAACACAAAATTCTTGATATATTTAATTTTTAGAATTGATTTCAATCAAATTGGTTCCGGTAATAATTTATCTTGAAATTTTTTGGTAGATCACAGTTACAAATTACAATGAAGTAAGGATACCTAATTTTGAATCAACCGTTGTAAGAGTCATAAATACATAGTAGAAGTTGCAGCCCTACCAAAAGAAAATATTTTCCGTACATTATCCCTACCTTTATAATTATTTTCTTTCATATCCCTTATTTTTTCATTTTTGGTAATGAAATACCTACTCCCATTGTACCAAAAATTCACTCCTAAAAGCCTGAAACAGAACAGTAAATTCAGACTGATTAATTTCCAAAGGTTCAACTCCTTAAGAATAAACAGACTACCCTATAAATGACAAAGATGTAGAGATGGATTAAATTTCCAATGGGAAAATAGTGGTAGAGAACGATATAGTCTCAATAAATGAAAAGTAACATACCCATAAATCACCAGTTAGTAGAAAAAGTAAAACAAAAACCATATAGAAAATGGGGTTTTCGTTTATCCTTTAACATGACATGGTAAAGTTTTTTACACACACAACATTTTGTGAGGTCCGCATTTTTTGAAACAAAAAAAAAAAAACTAAAGCACGGAAAACGAAACAAATCTCAGTAACATGACACAATCACTTTATCTACAACATAACTCTTATAAAACTCATAGAAAATACATGACATTAACTACTGTATTGTATCCCATACCATAAAGAAAATTTCTGATCAAGTGACATACCATAGATGGATGTTTTAGTATTGAAATACTGCTAACGTTGCTTCCACATTCCCGAGAAAGTAAAAGTCGTACATGTGGGACACTCTTCCAACTCTCTCCAAGTGCTGGTTTGGAAATGCCGTCTTCTCCAGCAACCACATGATTCGTTACCTTCCGAATGTGTTCCATTAGAAGTGTTATTAGAAGGATATATCTAATACAAATAGATACTTCTAGAACCCCTTGTGTATATAAATAGAGCATTTGCTCATAAATGAAGCAAGCAAAAACTAATTAAGTAAAGAGTTTTTCTCTTGTAGGAGGTCCCTTCCCTCGAAGAAGGTATAGGAGGTTCATTCCCTCAAGAATGTTTATCCCGGTCCCCATCAATTGGTGCAAGCAAAAACCAATAAAGTAAAGAGTTTTTCTCTTGTAGGAGGTCCCTTCCCTTGAAGAAGGTATAGGAAATTCGTTCCCTCAAAGAACGTTTATCCCGGTCCGTATCAATTGGTCCGAATCAATTAGATAACAATATTCACAGCTATAGATATATTCGCCAACAATATAAACCTTCACCCCAATACAGAAAAGCAAGGCTAAGATATTATGCGTCTTTTCTAGTGAGATAACTAGAATAATCATCTCGTCATTTATATTGCTATTACCATATCAGTTAGTTTAGCTTAACCATAGTTAGTCTATTAGCTCAACTATGTGTTAGTTACTTTCCCGCTTCTGTTATGACAGTTATGTCAATGTACCATATATAGTTATTTTCTCTGTATTGTATCGATCAATCAATTCATTGACAAAATAATGCAGAATACTTTCGTTCTTTCCCTTTCTTTCTCTGTTCTTTCTTTCTTTGGTAACAATTGCAACTTGAAGTAATATACTGTCCCATTTCTCCAAAAAATAATAAATAAATAATAAACTCCCTAATTTTCCTCACTTGTCTAACAACATACTAATTACCCATTTGTATCAATATCACAGTATTTATGTTTGAAATTCTCTAAATATAAAATGAACCAGTCATGACTCAACCATTGTCTGACATTTTCAAAAGTTCTGTTTTTTCTGCCGCCCCAGTAAATTATGTCTTGTTGCCTTATTTATCCCACAAGATAGTATACTTTTGAAACATTTATACGAGGAAATAAATATCAGAAGATGATCAATTATTATAAGGCTAAATATGACACAAGCTCCCCACCTTATCCTTTTTTTCTCACACGTCACTCCTCACCATCTTATTTCTCTCAATTAGTGAAAGGACTATCACTGGCATAAATGAAAGGGGAAAGCAAAACAAAAGCAAAGCTTACCAATACTGCAATATTATGATCATGTGCTATGTTCTTCAGTAAAAAGCCCGCGGATATCATTAAAGCATGTCCTGAAATCACCCATAATATGTAAACCTGTAAGTTTCTGCACAGTTAACTAGTTGTCCAACCTATAATCATGGAAAAAAGGACTCTCTTAACCAAAGGAAAGGAAAAGCGTGAATAAACATGTTAGGAAAACGGTGACATCAAAGAAGATTAGAACAAAAACTAAAATGTAGAAAGACTTAAGAGACATGACTTGACCTCAAAACAATTTGCACAATGACTTATGATCCTCATAATAAGACTCCTTGTTACGAAAGAGTCCAATCAATTTATCTACCTCTAACTATATATATATATATATATATATATATATATATATATATACTCTCTCTCTCTCTCTTTGGGGATATCTAATCTTTTGATTTTTTATGTTTCTCAATGGAACAAAAATTGTGACTTGTAGTTGAACTTCGAAACTAGAATGAAGTGCTTGACTTGATACATGGTAACCAGATACTAAGAAACTCTCGTGGTATGGGTAAATATACTACGTAACTTATTTTTACTTTTGGGGATGAGCTTCCCAGAGCATAATACAAGAAGCCCACACTTTAAAATTGCTTTGTTGGCACATGATACTTAAATTGCAAGATGCATACCGCATGAATTAAATGTTTACTTTTAATTGAGGATGAGCTTCCCAGGGTACAAGAAGCCAGCACTTAAAATTGCTTTGTTCACACATGATGTTTAAATTGCATGATGCATACCCCAGACCTTGAAATGTATAGGAGCAAGCGCTCTTAATTAACTCAGGCTATTAAAAGTTCAAATTCCTTTACAAAAAAATTATTAAGAAAACAAGTAAATCAGAAAATACAAGTCCAAAGCTTATTAAGAATTCGCAAGGGAAATTCCTATAGAATGAATATGGACAAGAACTGCACAGCTTGGAAAGCTCAACTTAGGATATGATTTTTCCAATGCAAATACATGTCCAAGGGATCATTAGTTTCAAGAATACTCAAGGACATTTATTGAAGATTGATGTAGATTATTGGATTATGTAACATGACAAGGACAACTAGGATGTTCCAGGATTATCAAATAACGGATAATATAATTTGCCAAGTGCCAATGAGTATCTTTTTAATTCTGAGCATGTCAAGAAGGCCAAGAAAATAAAGAAAGATTGAAAGGTTAACAAAAGGGAATAACATGGTAAACAATGCCATCATTTAAAGTAAGCATACCAAGGAATTATGTATGCAAATATGGACTATACCCTGAGGACCACTGCCCCCAAGGATGGGTGTAATCAGTGAAGAGATTGAATCAACAATCAGCAATCGAACATGATGATCTGATTTGACAGTCTGTGCAGTATCGAGTAGTCATTTATTTGAGAGAAAGAAATACAAAACCAACTAAGTAGCATCAGCCACAAATTTTCCTGTCAATGAGAACCTTAGATCTCAAATTAATCTTCAGTTGATGCAGCACATCAAACATCTGATAGACGTCAAACACTGAATAGCAAATTATCCTGTCCAATACTTTTTGGAGAGGTCCATGATCAGCCTAAAAGATGGACCATTAACAAACAATTTTAAGGCCAGTTAAAGAACAACAGGGACCAAACAATGTGCAATAAGTATGAAGCCATAATAACCTGATTGTCAAAGACATAACCAGAGGGCTGACCAACTAAATGTGCAATACGCTGAGGTGAAAAGGAGTTCCCTGTATCCAAGTATATAACTGAATTCTCATGCTTTGCAACCGTAGAGGCAGACAGTAGGCAAGCCTAAAATATATTTAAAAAAAAAAGCCAAGTTATATTTGAACAGAACATTTAAGAAGAAATAGAAGAAAGCAATTTATATTATATCATCCAAATAAGAGGTAATGCAGTAGCATCATGTGCATGTCAATGACGAGAAGGATAAGGCTGGGGACCTGTGCCAGCAAAGAGGTCATCTACAGAACCAAAGTAAATCAATATATTTTCAGAATTTCATTCTTAATACAGCCCAGGACTAAGGATGGAAAAAATTCCCATGCTTGCGGATCTCCAAAGTATTACCCACGACAGGGCAGCTAGCCTAACAGGTACACATTTAAGAAATGGGGGCAGGAGGGATCACAATACCTGCCCCACTAGGAACAACGAATTTTCAATATTTTAATGTGACTTTTTTTTGGTAAATGAGCCTATAATGAGGATTATGTATTACAAGATAAAATTGTACTAGGCACTTTATTTGTGACATTCTTTTAATTTTACATAAGTATTTTAAATTTTAAATTCATACAAGATTGCGATATATGATGTTAAATTTTATTCATTTATAGATTTTTTTTTCTTGTGACTTTTTTAATTTTCAATTTTAAGTTATTAAATACCCATACCCAAGGGGGCGAACCGGAGCAGTGATAAAACTGTTCCTTCATGACTGAAAGGTCATGGGTTCGAATCCAGGAAACAGCCTCTTTGCAATTATGCAAGGGTAAGGCTGCGTACAAGGATTTCCTCTACCCCACCCTCGCTAGTCGGGTTTAACGGAGAGTAGTTTTTTTTTTTTTTTTTAAATACCCATGGGTATCCGTCTCCCAGCAGAGATTAGATATTGGAATCCCCAACTGCGACAGGGCAGGGGAGCATTACCCATCCCTGCCCAGCCCCGTAAACACTATCAATCAAGATATGTTTTTTTTTTATGGCAAAGAAGCAAGTTCTTACCTGTGTCTTACCAGACGAGGATGGCCCTACAAGTTCAGTTAATTGTCCTTCACGTAATCCACCTCCAAGCAATGCATCAATCCTGAATAACACAGACTCAAACACTGAGTAGTGCTACTTTCAACCAACAGTCACACCTCATTAGAAACCAAATATAACAATTATTAAGAACTCAATATTATAAGCAGCAAAAGTTTTGAATACCATAGAGAAAACAAAGCGCTATGCTACTGGTGGAAAATAAGGAGGGGGGTGAAAATGGAGAGCAACGTAAAGGTTTTGACTTTCACTTATTGTCGATTTGGTCGAGGGTGAAAAACTACTATCAATTCTGATCTCAATTTCATGCCATAAGAGCGTTTAAAATTTGTTCTGTGGAGTGTAAATGAGTTGCATTCAACTTTCAACCCTTCCAGGATTTTGTTATAACTAGCAAGAGCGAAGTGATTTTCATTCCAAAATTTCCAGCCAACCAACCAAGCACAACCTAAGTAATAGAACATTTGTGCATAAAAGTGGTGTGCAACACAAATATTTCAAAATGCCACCCTAGGCATAACATAACATCAAGTACAGGTTTAGCTGAAAGTACCCTTCACATCCAGTACACAAAACATGTTTATTCCGCTTAGCATCTTCCAAGAGCTGCAAACCGTTTAGCAATGGTGGATGTAGAGCATCTATTACTGAGAGAAGCTGATCGATTCCCTAAAATGGAAAATACTCAAAGTAGAATCACGCACATTAATTAATTCAATAACAAAATTAGCAAAACATAAAATTCGAAAAACAACAATTAATGCCAGGTGAGCGCAGAGGTATGTATATAGCTAACCCTAACCTGCTTCAGTCTCTGTGAAGTAGATTGATTATCCGCAAAAGCGGTTAATGCATCAAGATCATGAAGGAGGAAATCTTCAACTGAGAAGAAAGTGGAATAGTGAGCGTGTTTGATAAATTCTGAAAATTTAAATCAAAAAAATTGCGGAAAAGAAAGGAACCAGAGAAAATGCCGTGGGAAGCGCAAAAGCTTTGAAAGTTATAGTCAATAAGTGGATACTCTTTCTCCAGAGATTTCAACGGCGCCATTTTTTTTCAATAGCTATTACCTTGTTTTTGTCTGGGGTTCATGACAACAAAACCAACCTAAAACGATTCGGTTCATGATTTTATGTGTGTTAATTCGGACCGGGCCGGTCGAGAATTTCACGTCAATTTGAACCAAGCTAAACCTTTTGCAGACTAGCAAAGTATTAGTTTAATCCGATCTTACGTGGGTCAAATTTTATTTTATTTTTTAATATATCAATCAGTTCGTCGTTTCGTGTTTAGTTCGATTCGGGACGGATTCCAAAATTAAGACTTTAAACCCTTCTAAAAATAGTACTGGGCTTACCTCCACTTGTTCAGTTCTCTGACGTTAATTGAGTTATGATAATTGGTACTTGGGTCAAATATTAATTAATTACATAATATTTTTTTCATAATTTAAATTATAAATAAAGTAAAGTACAAAATTAATGGAACAAGAACCAAAATGCCACACTGTTCACAAAAAATTACTTGAATGCAACGATTTGATATTTTTTTCCCAAAATGGCACATCGCCTAACTTGCTACAACACTTGGCGAGTTAGGTGTGAACACGTAGCAGAATGTTAATGGCCACGTAAGCTGATGCATAGTGCAGCGAGATTATATGGCAGACAGCTTCTGCCACGTGGCCTAAAACGCTAGGCAGCGTGGCGTCTCAGGTGTCAGTTTTTTTGACACGTTTCAAACTCACTATGCAGCATAGCATGTTACGTGTCAGCTTTTCTGACACGTGGCAAATGCGTTGTGCAGCATAGCATTTTACGTGTGTGTCAAATCTTAACTAGCCCAGCAGTCCAGAGTTTTTAGTTTAATAAATACACCACTTCCCCTCCCATTTCATGCATCAACGTGGGTTCGTTTCTCTCTTCAATTAATTTATGTTGTTTTTTTTTTCACCCATTTTTTTTTCAAAATGAGTGATAACAATGATTCATTAATTGCATTAGTCTATTTCAATCGGAGGAAATATTTTGGTCCTATTAGGCAAGTTTTTGAAGGAGATACAAAAGTATTTCGCATGAGCCCACAATGTAACTTTAATGAATTGAAGAAGACAATTTACAAGAAATTGATATTACAACGCGGTCAATTTCTGTCTCGCTTGATTGCTCGATGCACCTAGGGCAAAGAAAGTTGGGTTCCGGTGGAGATTGTTGAGGATGAAGATATCGCCTTAGTAGTAGGTGCATTTCGACTGCATCCAGACTCCAAATCTATTGAGTTGTATGCAGAAAAAGACTCTGATGGATAGTCCAGCAGTCAACGTTCTGACCCTTCCATTCAGTTGGTCGACATGAATAGAGAGTCGTTGGTGAATCCTGAAGATAGATATATGTCACCCCCACCACCGTTACCAATGTCACTTTAATTGCATCCTACCCAAGATAAGTATGCTCTTGCGTGCTGTACAGACAGCTCAGACGACCGGACGGGTGAAAGGTTTATTCCCGAAAGCAACTCATCGAACACTGATGTGGAGGGCAATTTCGATTCATGTCCGTCCACCGCCATGTGTCATATGATTCTTTCACTGGGCATTGTTGGAGGGCACGACCCGCTAGTGGCAAGTTAGTAACCGAAATTCATGAAAATTAATTGAATATTATATTTGAGTAGCAATGTTGAACAATTATGGCGGATATCTGTTGATACAAGAGACAAGAATGTTCCATTTTGGTATCAAATAAGTCACTATATGGCTATCAATTGGACACACCTAGACCAGGAGTTGCTAGCAATGGATGAAGCGCAAGTACCTAACTGGTAAATGGGTCAAGAGCTGTATAAGGACCAGGTTTTTTATAACAAGCATGATGTGCAAATGGCTATAAGTCAATGTTGTATGTCGGAGTATCACACAACCATTGTAGCTAAAAGTGATACAAAAAGATTGATCATGGTGAGTGAAAATCACAACGACGGTTGTCCGTGGAGGATGCAGGCACACGTAAAAAAGGGCGGCACCGAGTGGATTATTGGCATATGGGTTAACCAACACAACTGTGTAAACTATACTCTTTCTCAAGATCACAAGCAGTTGGACTCTAACTTCATTTGTTCAATGATCCTAGGTATGTTAAATGTCCGCATTTTCTTTTAATATTTTTGAACGAAGTTAATAATAAATAATTATTTTATGACATGCATCAATGATAAGGGAGGAACCCAATGTTAAAATATCACTAATCCAAGAACGGATAGCAACAAATCATGGGTTTCATATTTTATATAGAAAGGCACGGAAGGCAAAGCAAAAGGCAATTGTCAAAATTTATGGGGATTAGGATGAACCATACGTCTTTTTGCCAAGATGGTTGGATTATATGTTGTGATTTTCGCTCGAGACTGTCTATAAGTTGGATTTAAACGATCATTTTGTTGACAACCGGCTGGATCAATCTCAGAAGGTGTTCGACAGGGTTTTCTGGACTTTCAAATAATGTGTTGATGCCTTCAATTATTGTAAGCCTGTTATCCAAATAGATGGTACCCACTTGTATTGGAAATATTGAGGGGCCCTATTAATTGCAACAACTGTGGATGGAAACAATTATGTGTTGCCTATCGCTTTCGCGGTTGTAAGGGGGGAAAATCTTAAAGACTGGTTGTGGTTTTTAGCATTGATACAAATGCACGTGACACAAAAAGAATGCATCTGTCTTATATCTAATCAGCACTCAGGCATACTGTCTGCAGTCAACAATACGACGATGGGCTGGCAACCACCCAAAGCATAACACGTCTACTATATTCGACATCTTGCGAGTAACTTCAACCACAAGTTCAAGAATGTAATGTTGAAGTAGCAAGTGAAGAAGTTAGATATCGTTTTCGACTTATTCATGTACTTTTTCACAACTTGTATGGAATATTTCTTAAAGCTTCGGTCTTTGTTATTGTACGCTGGTCATACAACTTCGCAGTTGGATTTTGATGCTGGGTTAGAGAAATTGAAAGAAACAAGTCCACAAATAGTCGCATGGATAGATCAAATTCTAAAAGAGAAATAGAGTATCACATATGATGCAGAGGCCAGAAGGTTTGGTCATATGACCACGAACTTGTCAGAATGTGTTAATAAGGTTTTCATGGGCGCAAAAAACCTTCCTATCACTTATTTGGTGCATCTCATATACGAACGTCTGGTGCAATACTTTCTTGAACATGGGCAAGAGGCCTGCGAGAAGATGGCCAGGGGGTCGGTTCACTAAAGTACTCTGGCAAGCATATTTAGAAAATCAACAAAAAGCCGCCACACATTTTGTGACATGTTATGATCCTCAGAAGACAAGATTTGAGGTTCAAGAAACGTACAACCAGCATACTCATCGGGGCGATAAGAAATGGTCGGTTTGATTACCTGATCAGACCTGTCAGTGTGGTGAATTTACTGTCTTTAGGTACCCGTGCAGCCATGCCATAATAGCTTGCACAGCTACAAACCATGATCCAATGCAATACATTGATCCCGCTTACAGTGTCGCATATCAACGCCAGGTATACTTAGGTCAATGGTACCCGACCAGCAATGAGGAATTCATATCACCAGTGTTGGACCAATTGTAATCCTAGATGTGTCGATGAGGCGTCATAAAAGAAGGTCTAAAAGTCGCCACATACGTAATGAGATGGACGTACGAGAAGGGACCAAAACTCACACACGATGCAGTTTTTGTAGGATAGTTGGCCATAATAAGCGCAATTATACTGCGCGAAACCTAACTACAATTGATCATTTTGGGTTTTCTACCACATATTAGTTAAAAGTTGTTTAGTAATATTATATGTATTATATCTGTAAGTGTTTAACTATGTTGTCTTATTAGTATGGGTTATATTATATCAAAATGTTCAAAGTGCACCATCATACATAACCAGGATAACCAAAAAATATCAAAATGTCCATAATGAATCATCATACATAACCAGGATAACCAAGAAATATCAAAATGTCCATAGTGCATCACCATACATAACCCGGATAACCAAAAAATATCAAAATATCGATAGTGCATCACCAAACACATACCAGATAACCAAAAAATACCAAAATGTCTATAGTGCATCACTATACATAACCCGGATAACCAAAAAAATATAATGTCCATAGTGCATCATCATACATAACAGAGGTAGTCTAACTCGGTCCATGGTCACCCCGACAGAATCTCGTATCATGCAAAATCGATGACAAATTACATTGAAATCGAGCCCCCTAGTCGGGTTCCTCCTAATACCACCATCAACGTCGGCCTCCGCTATACCATCCTGATCATCGTCATCTGCCATCAATCGTTCGATACTCTCCCGCGACATCTCGGGCAGAGGACCTCCATGGAGGTTCTGCATGGAACCAGTGGAGTGTGATGTGGGGGTGGCCATGTAAGTGGGCTCCCACGTGGGCCTATAATCCTATACAATGTCCTCTAACCTGGGCGCACTCTATCTATTGCCCGCTCCATGGTACACGGGCACCATCAGCGATGGATATGTCTGGCCGGTGGGGCTGTGTAAAACGGTGGATATGCATGCACCCCCGTGGGAGGTGGTGCACTATACTGTGTAAACCCACATGGCCAGTAATACAGCTGCGATGGTCTTGCAGGATAACCAGGTGCATAAAATATCCCAGGGAGTCGCTCTGGAATATATGGCACACACATAGGTGTGTCGACAATGGCTGGACGACTGTGGTGCAAAGGAAATCCCTTAACTCTAGCATGTTGGGATCAGTGATTGTCATGAGGTGGGACCTGCATGTTACAGACAGTAGGTGCCGACAAATCCTCTCTAGGCTCTCTGATCCTGTCAACCTGATGGATAACTAACAGAGCCCACTCTACCTCATGTCCTCGAAGGAGAACGAATCCCAAACCTCAGGTTGACCATGTGTTGCATAGTCTCCTCTCGATCCACTAGCAGTTGATATTCAATTGAGAAATGTATTAATAGTAAGTCATAGAGATGTACAAATCTTAATATGAAAAATAACTTACTAAACATACCACAACATGGTTCTGAGC